TCAAGTCCTTGCCGGTGGAAGGGGCTTGGGAACATTTAAAAATGGATTTCAAGGTGGAGTTCATATTGTGAAGGCTAATGAAGCTGAAAATATAGCAGGTGATGATGACTATCCATTCTGCATGTGTGGGTATTCATTTTTCGTTTTTTCCCTTTGGGTCGCGTGGGTGGGCACATGGGGTGTTTAGTTGTTCACCCCCTTATTTTCTGTTATCAACTAGAGTGCTAATTGTGGACCTAGTCTGCATATATGGTGCTTGTTTTTTAGACTCTGAGTAGCTGTTTGGCTGTAGCTTTGATGCATGCTACAATATAATATTATGGAAAGATAAAAAGATCAATCAAGTAGAACAATGAGGAGTAATAGCTGATTGATTTGCTTGATTGATTTTATTATGATTTGATTTTAATATCTTCATTATTTAATCTATTTTAAGAAGTGATTTTCTAGGATTTCCATTTCCTTGTTTTCTGCATTCATATGCATGTAATCCTTCTTATAAATGGGAGCTTTGCTATGCTAATAAAATATCAAAGAAAAATTAGGAAGAAACCAAGGAGAAGGAAATCTCTTCAAATATACATAGTCCCTATCCATTTTTCATTTATATTTCTTTCCTGTGTCGCAAAGAATCCCAATACATAACAAGCATTGTGTTTAATGGCACCCTAACTTACTTAAATTCTGTTTAAAGACCCAATATTTGTTTCATAGTGTTTGATAGTCTTTCTGAATTCAATGACAGTGCTTTTCCTTATCCTCTAAGGTTCAATATTTGTTTCATACTGCTTGGTTTTCATTCTGAATATATTGCTCTGGCAGAGAGCGTGAGGCATTAAGATCTTACTCTATCTCATAAATATTGCATTCTTTTTCATCAGAAAAAATGCTTGGGCAGATACTTGTTACTAAACAAACTGGACCCCAGGGGAAAATTGTCAGCAAGGTTTGACACTTTCATCAATTTTTTCCAGCTTCAGTTTCATTACATCTTTTACACGTTCATAAATTTTAAGGTTCATAACATAATGAAATAATGACCACAAACTTATCTTTTTGCGGGTCCCCTCCCTCCATGAAGGGGCATTCATCGCAATTTAGTACTCCCTAGTCCCTCTGTCTTTTATTAGCTGCTCCTATAGGGTTTTCTGGGAGATTAAGATGGAAATATTAGGTGCAGCGAATAGTAGGAGAGCAAGGATACAAAAGTAGAAAAACAAGGAACAGAAGATGAAACACTATGGTTATTTATATAAAGGGTACAATTGATTGACCCGCAATAATCCCTAAGGCTTCTCCCAATTCTAGCAGGTCAGAGGTCACCATTAGTAGGACTTCTACCATAACATAAGTATGGCAAACCTTACCAATTGGGAAAGTGGAGTGAATAATAAAAACATGCCAAAAAGAATACAGAGAAAGTTATTATAACGGAGGGAGTATCATATATACGATATTAGCAGGCTATTCGGTACTCTGCTTATCCTCTTATTTTTCTCTCTTTCAGCAACCATAAGGTAGGGAAATAAAATGCAATATGGATTGAAAATGGGGGTGTAGACATTTTTTCATTGCGATATTCAAGAAGCAATATTTGTATCTATTGCAGGTTTATTTATGTGAAAAGCTGTCATTGGTCAATGAGATGTACTTTTCCATTATTCTTGACCGTGCAACAGCAGGTCCAGTAAGTAACGAAACAAACTCCATTGGCATATTGTTTATTTTTAAAGGACGTTTCACACAAGGTAGTTGGCGTCGATGATAATCTAAAGATGATTACACCTTCATTGCCTTTTATTCCCCTTGCAGCTTATTATTGCCTGCAGGAAGGGAGGAACAAGTATCGAAGACTTGGCAGAAAAGTTCCCTGATATGATTATAAAGGTCATTTTCAAACTCATTGGCTTCTATTTATTCTACTCCTGTTGTGAATGAGTAGTTACTGATTTTATTTTTACATTTTATGGTTTCCTGTATTAGGTACCTATTGATATTTTTAAAGGCATTACGGATGATGATGCAGCAAAGGTTGTTGATGGTTTGGCTCCGAAGGTTGCTGACAGAAAGGATTCCATGGAACAAGTGAAGAAGTTGTACAATCTTTTCTGTCAATGTGACTGCACATTATTGGAGGTTTTTCCCTCTAATTGTTTTCAACATGTTTAGTCTAGCAATTGGTTTACACACACTGACACACGCGCGACACAGCCGACACTTATCATTCAATTCAAGCTTTGTCTCACTTGTTCTTTAACTAGATTTTTTTATTGCCTCTTTGATCAGATTAACCCTCTTGCCGAAACATCGGATAAAAAGTTAGTAGCTGCTGATGCAAAAATGAATTTTGATGATAATGCTGCTTACCGTCAGAAAGAATTGTTTGCCCTACGGGATTCATCACAAGAAGATCCCCGCGAGGTATCCCCTGCAATTTTGTAATTTTATTGAGACTGGCTAATCCACATTTTGCGATTCTCTAGACGAATCCTTCACTTCATCTAAATGTGTAAAATACCATATTTGCACTTAAAAGCTGAGTGCTCTACCGTTGGGTTAGCAACCCGAAATAGATGGATTATGAAACTTCTAACAGAGGCTGTGTGTACTGACGATCTTAGTAAAATAGAAGATAATTCAACATAACTGCTGAACAAATAAATCTATTACATATTATATCAATTTAATAATTTTGGAACATAAAAAGAAACCGACTCGACCCATCTTTATTAATATAATTAATTTAATTAATAATTTAAATTTTAAATTCGCAACAAATAATCTGGCTTATCTACTTGGCGAGTACTCGCAACTCTGGTACTGACTTTCGGGTACTGACTTTTTCGAGTTACTCGCCGAGTTTCTCAACTCAGTGAAGTTTTCAACTCGGCGAGTTATTTGGTCTTACTCGGTCCCTTATATAATTGAAAATCTAGGTTACAAAACCTAGGCTAAAAGGAGTTAACTACCTAGCAAATTATATTTGCCTGATGCATTGTTGCTAATTCGAAATAACGAAACAAATTCCATCTTCCTTTGAAAATTGTAAAAATTAAAATGAAGATATAATTATCTATACAATATTGGTGTTTATTAAAATGCGCTTTAATTAAATACACATTTATCTCACACATATGTGATACATCTATGCTAGTTTTTGTAATGTTTTTTGTTTTGTTTTGTTTATAGGTTGAAGCTGCAAAAGCTGACTTGAATTACATTGGCTTAGATGGTGAAATTGGTTGCATGGTAAATGGTGCTGGGTTGGCGATGGCTACCATGGACATTATTAAACTACATGGTGGAACTCCAGCCAATTTTCTTGATGTTGGTGGGAATGCCAGTGAAGGACAGGTATGTCTTTTAGCACCAAATAATATATGGGAGGTCCATAGTTTCTGATATTGGGTGAAGTTGAAATCTTGTAAATATGCATTATATACACAAAATCAACTGAATAGCTGATATTCTACAAAGGATTTGGGTGCCTTGAAAAGATAAATTTACTGATCTGGTTGATGTAGGTTGTGGAGGCTTTTAAAATCTTGACCTCAGATGACAAGGTTAAAGCTATTATGGTAAACATATTTGGAGGAATTATGAAATGCGATGTAATAGCCAGTGGAATTGTGAATGCTGCAAAACAGGTTAGACAAATGTCATCATTACTTGTAGGCTTTTATTCATCATCATAGCATATATGGTATTATAGTCTATACTGTTCTGTTTCTTGATAATGCTTCTGGATTCTGGTCATTTTGCCCATTGGTTTACATGCTATAAAATGTTGATTCTTCTGATCATGCTTTACTAGGTTCAATTGAAAGTGCCAGTGATTGTTCGTCTCGAAGGAACTAATGTGGACCAAGGCAAGAGAATTCTCAAGGTATAACATCTTCTATGACACATTGTTTTTTCATGAAAATTTCTGCACAATTAGATTAGCTATGGAGTGTTTGGAGCCTGAAAAATATTCGGAAAGGAAAATGAATATGTAAAGAAAACACACAGCTGATTTATAGGGTCCAACAATTTCTTCCTTTCCTATCCTTCATAGTTTCTCTCCCCACCATTTTCCAAGTTCCAATTAGACTCACCATGACGATGGCGGTTTCAGAATTTCTTTTAATTTGTAACAAGGTTACAACTGTATTTTGCCTGAATTTGTAGTGTTAACCAATGCTATACACTTATTGGCACTAAATTTCATGGAACCTGGCCCCTGGATAATTGTGATTAAGTCATTAATGATGATTTAATGACTACTACTGATCTTGCAGTTGTGATTTATGTGCTCTAACATGTTACTTGCAGTATGAATTTGACATCTGGTTGTGTTTGCAGGAAAGTGGCCTGACACTCATCACTGCAGAAGATCTCGACGATGCAGCTGAGAAAGCAGTTAAAGCAGCTAAATAAATCTCATTGGGTTTTCATCGACTCTGTTATGCGTGTCGATTAAATTGTCTAATGCATACACAAATATCGGCAACACTTAAGAAAAATGGCAGTTTGGGTGTGCCTTACCATGAAAATAAGCATAGTTTTTTGTTTTGTTTAAAGATGATCCTGCCCATTTGATTCGGCTGAGTCCGTACTCCGAGGAATTACGAAGATGTACATTTGTCCTTTTTGTTCCTCATCAAGGAATAACATTTCAGTGAGTTTTAGCTTGTTCGATTAGTTAAATCGTGTGATAATGATAATACTACGTAATAGTAAAGAGAAGGCATCAAAGTTACTTTATTGATCAAAGTTAGTGATTGAACCCATTCCAGTTCCAAAACCACAGCGGATCGATATAGTTGGCTGCACTGTTTCTCAGTTCTAGACTGAAATTGGTTCAATATCCTGATTTTTTCAGGTAACTTCAAAGTAGGAACATACTGGTTTAAATTTCCAGTAATTAAATCGTATGTGTATTCACTTTAGTAAAGAAAAGATGCTTAAAATCAAGGAATCTGTGAAGATATGTTATTTTTAGTCCTAGTTACCGGTAGTACACATATTGGAATTTAAACCAGACCGGTCTACCCAAATCGAAGTGTTTATCATGAAATGATGATGGGAAACCATTTGTTTTATTGATAAAAACAATTATAAAAATGTATAGTACGAGTATAAATTATACTACAGAATCACAGCATACACTAAATTCTTGATTCATTGTTGAAAAATATGAATAATAGGGAAAAAGAGATGCTCTTTCTTATTGTGAACATGAATGCATCTACATATTCTTTTTATCTCCTGCAGTGAGTGTCTTGGCTATTCTATTAGAGATGCAATAAGCAGTTGACAAGATGGTGACCATTGGATTCACTCCAACTGCACTGGGAAGCACACTTCCATCACACACGTAAAGTCCCTTGGCTTCCCAGCACTCACCATTGCTGTCAACTGCCCCATCTTCCTCATTTGCCCCCATCCTACAGCTCCCCATCTGATGGGCTGAAGAATACAAGGCCCATTTTTCCTCTCCGAAGGCCTGGACCCCGCCAGGCACTGTCACTCCGTCCAAGAACCTCTCGAAATCCTCGTCCTTGTCCACCGTGCCTTTGCATGCAATTCTCTGCCCGTCGCTTCGGAACGTCCCGACCTCAACTGCCCCTGCCGCAACCATAATCCGCAAGGCCTGTCTCAAGCCCGCTCTTATGTTCTCTTTGTCTATCTGGGCCAGACGGTATTTTATCCGGCCCACTTTCTTCACTGACCCCGATCCCACATCTCTGGGCAACGAGAATAAGAAAACCGTCCGTGAGTATTTCCTCATCCTCTCCTTCATGTCTGCCCCCGAAGTCCAGGGAAACTGCGCTGCGGATATTGAGGGGCCCATCGCGGCGGCTTCTATGATGGCTTGTGTTCGTTTTCGGCCCCCTTCCCCCTCCGAGACCACCTTGTGTATGGAGGTGATGATTCCTCCCTCATGACATTTTCCTTCCAAGTCTGATGTGGACTCCGGGAAGTATCCCCATGCAATGAGGACCGGATGGAGGTGTAGGTTGGTTCCAATGTTCTTGTTCCTCAGCCCGCTGGCAATTAGCAGAGGTGGCGTGTAGAGGGACCCACAAGCTGAAATTGTGGTACCCGCTTCAATTCTAAGGACTGGGCTTTTTTTCCTGTCAAATGTTGTAAAATTCTTGTAAGTCAAATGCGATAACAAGTACAAATTCTTAAAGTTTAAATTTTCACCTTTTCAACACAAAAAGGCGTTCAAATAAGCAATCCTAATTCCAAAATATAGATATGATCAAATTAACAATTACTTGTCTGTCTGAATCAATAAAGTTTTTAATATTTTGATCAGCAAAGACAAATTCTTTAAAGTTTGAAAATCCTAATGTCTATAATAGCTATGACATATTTGGATTTCAATTTAATCCAAAAGATATCATATAAACAATTTTAAACTTTGTATGACCTAATTTACAATTAGGAGTCGCTTTGGTAACTTAATTTTTCATCTAATAGGTTATATCAATCAACATTTTTAATGAACACCAAACTAGTAATTTCACGTACCGTAAATTAATCATAATAAATAGGATTTTAATTGATTTACGGGTTGAATTGACTAAAATTGGTAAAAAAAGAAGAAGAAAATTTTAACTTTTTTATACAGATGGTGTAGTTTTACCATTAATAAGATATACTCCCTCCGCCCCGCTATAATTGTCTGTCCCATTTTACCATTTTTGGATGTCCCCCTATTATTGTTTCATACTATATTTGGTAACATTTGTATGGCTCTAATTCATTCTTACTTTATTCTCACTTTATGAACTCACTATCAACCAAACAATTCTACTTTTATTAAAAAATCATATCACTTCCATCATCCCAATAATAGGGGGACGAAGGGAGTATTTCATTATAATTTCCCATAATTCAACAAATTCCAATCTTACTTTGTTTTAAACAAAATTTTCACAGTCAAGTATCTTGTGATCTGATTACATCACCGTGATACTCTGAAAAAGAAAGTCACATATTCCTATCTCATCTCAATCCAAGAATGTTAACCTTAACATAGAACAAATATTATACTCCCTCCGTCCCAGGGAGAAGTTCCCGGGTTGACTTTCACACATATTAAGGAAATAAAGTTACTGAGGGGTAAATTTTACTGTTTGGCACTGTTTCGACACTGTTTGGCACTGTTTTGCACTGTTTTATGTAGGATAACTTTCCATTTAAGGAAATGGGAACTTTTTGTTGGGACTGCCAAAAAAGGAAATTGGGAACTTCTCCCTGGGACGGAGGTAGTATTAGGTTAGGAAACTTTTAGGAAAACACAATTTTCATAAGTTTCAACTTTCAAGGGATTTAGTAATCAAGTCAATATTTTATGCTTGGTTTTTGTCCAAGCCAATGAAATAAAAAAACAATATTTCGTATAATAAATTAATACTCTCTCCGTATTTTTTTGTTTGCTACACTTTCCTTTTTTGGATGTATTAAAAAATTTGTTACACTTTTCCTTTTTGGTAAGGTTTTCTTTTAAAAATACTCAACTACTGTTGTTTTTTCTACTTTTTATCTTCTATTTCATACTTTCCTATCGTTTCTCGTACCTTTTCTATACTGTTCATTACTCATACTATTTTACTCTTAAAAAATGTGTAACCCCTATTGTAGCAAACAAAAAAATACACTAATAAGAAACAAATAAATCGAAGAAAAGTTGTACCCAAGTGTCTTTGTGAAACCGGTAACGGTAGCCATGACCCCTGAGCACTTTTTTCTCTTGTTTTCACCTTCTTCCATATCCTCTAGGATGAACTTGTCTGCTCTACAACCTGTCAAGATAACGGCACCCCGGTTAACGGCGTCAACTAACCACGTCGAGTCAACGCCCTTCTTTTCACCCGTTCGGCAGCCATAACCACAAGATCCGCAGTAATGCTTCTCTGAAGAATTCCTGGGAACATACTCGATATCCAGTCCGAGATTTTCGCACCCTTTTCTCAGGACTCGGTTCTGAAGTCCTTCCTTGGAGCAAACCTCAGTAACGCCCATCCGTTTACAGACGGCGTCCATGGCCGATTGGTATTCAGAGGTTCCAAAAAGTGGAATCTTTTTTTCGACGGACCATTCTTCAAGCACCTCCTTCGGTGGCTTAATCGCAGCCGCCCAGTTTATCGCAGATCCGCCGCCGACGGTTGTTCCGGCCACAATCAGGATTTTCCCGTCTACGGTTGTCAACATTCCGCCGGATTCATACAGTTCGCCGATCGAAGGTTCCTCGATCCCTGAATAGTCTTCGGGGACGAAGTATTGACCTTTCTCGAGGACGACGACTTTCAGGCCGGAGTTGGAAAGGACCCCCGCCGCCACTCCGCCGCCACAGCCGGAACCGACTATTACGACGTCGCATTTGATTGTTAGGGTTTCGGGATTCTGGCCTTCTGTGACGTCAAGGCCTTTCTTGATTAGGGATTCTTTGAAGGTTGTTATATCATTTTCATTAATGGTTTCGATTATACCCTTGTCTAATGGCCTCTCTCTCTGTTTTTGTTCACATAGAGCATCTTCTTCATTGATGTCTGGATGGAAACCTATTGCTTCCCATGCTGGATTCCTTGAATGTTCATCAGTCTGAAAAAATGAAGGTGAATAAAAACTGTGACTTTTTAAAAAGAAAGTTAAGGGGGTGTTTGGAACTGATTCTGTTTCTGCTTCTTTTTTAAAAGAAGCAGAATCAGTTTTTTCGGAAACTGCTCTCCCCGGGTTCTAAAAAACCGCTTCTAGAGTAATTTGGAGCTCCAAGAGTACTTCTGCACTTTAATCCCAGAAGTACGGCTCCAATATCTAACTCTCAAATCTCAAATGATGAAACTTAGGAAAGTAGGAGTGGTGAGAGGGATTATGATTACCCAAGAAATGAAAACATAACAGCAGGCAATCTTGGTAACCATGAATGCAATTCTTAAGGGGATGAAGATGCCATCTCTTGACCATTTTTGGAGAACAGCTTCCCTTTGCTTCAAGGACAGTTCAGAGAATTTGTAAATGAAGGGCCACCTTCCATTTAAACAAACAAAGCCACAGAGCAGAAGACTTCCCAGTCTGGTTGATAGCAGAGTTAGAACCCATCTGAATATAATCCCTGCTATAGGTATGAGCCTCCCCAGCACTACCTCTGCTGTCTGGCAATGCAATACAATGATACAGAATATGAGAACTCTCCAACACAAGTTTAATTAGAGGCGTATCTTGGCGCAAAATTTTAGGCCTTCAAAGTTATTTGTATAATATCTAACATATACTGATATACTTATGCATGTTAATTTCGCAGGTGGGAGTTGGGAAAGTTTTTGAGTTCTTGTATGAATTGAGATGACATTTTTATGCTGGATGAGATGATATATTTTCTGAATAAAGATAAGTTCTAGCCTGATATTTTATGTTAGTCAATTGCCAACTTAGTGCAGATTAAGATGACATTTGTTTTGCTGATTAAGAATTAAGATGAAATGATTGTTTGGTGATAGCAATTTGACTTGGTGATGATAATCTGGCTTAATAATGGGATCAAAATATCATAACGATGGCATTCTTGTTTCAGGATTACATTAGTCGATGGGCCGAACCCCTATGAGTTGTTCTTCAAATAAACTCACTTTTTACGTTCACTCCCACGCTTGCTTCTACCAAGTGTCCCGGAAAAAATTATGGTATTATCTTAAATCTTCCACTATGGTTTAGTCCCATTGAAACCATTTTACCTTTAGGAAAATTCTACCGTGCCTTCGTTAATTTCGAAGGCACCGGTACCCACACTTTTTTAAGCCAATCACAATTCACTATGATGCCACGTCACCATTCTATGAAATTACTTGGCACTTCACGTCTTCATCCTATCAAATACATTATGGCCCCTACATGAATTTCAAGGCACTGCCGCACTCTATATTACCTGTATATTACTGCATTTTGGTTCTAAAAAACAGGAATTTCAAAACACAAATTGAACAAAACAGTTTTTTTAATGAAATGAATACAACGATCGGGGAGAATGAAGGCATGCTACGCACACCTGGAGTTTGACAATATTGTAGATCCTGATGATGAAGATCTAGAGAGAATTCAGATCCGAAAAAATTGAAAACTAGATGCACCCAATAAATTTCTTAATTATTATTAATCCAAACCCTAAAATTTAAACTATGGATACCGGAGGTTTGTGATATCGGCGGGCGGCAAGAAGGTTCTCCGTATTTTTCTTTTCTTTTTCAGTTTTCTTCATCGGTTTTTCCTTACCATATGACGTGGCACCATGTTGAATTGTGATTGGTTAAAAAAGAATGTACCGAAGCACGCATTATTTAGGTATGCACCATAGACAAACCCCTTATCTTTAATGCAAATAATGCTATATAAAAGAGCCTTGACGCCTTGAACAAATATGATTGGTCACTGCATGACAGTGTTCAATGATCCTGAAAGTATTCATACAAATGCTAGCTCGGGTCAGACTATTTGTTCAAGCAGGTTTGGCCCGACCTGCAATGAGTGGGCCCCAGAACATGTGCATATTTGTGCATGTGTGCGGGTCCAAAATCGACATATTTCTACCAATTGAAAGAAGTCGACATATTTAATGCGCAAAATTTGTGTAACAAGAAAGACTAGATATTGCCACAACATTTGAGGCAGTGTTTTGTGTACAAATTTTTTAAAACTATTTTACATGTCTTATAAAATCTCTCACACAAACAATTTCTGTTTATAAAGATGAGTTAACACAAAGATGTCTATTAAAAGATAATCCAATTTCACAAACAAGTAATATCTGACTCCAGAGAAAAATTATCACACATTATTTTTGTATGTAAATGTCATTTTCCAAACATGTAACCATCTAATCCAAGCGATGATCTTAATTAACCAAACACAAGCTAACCCATACGAATGTATTCCTCTTTTGTTTACAGTCCTCTAATTGAATTGAAGTGAAGTAGGTTTACATTTAATATTCCATGACATTCATTAATTTCATATCGCTAACCCATGTACCTTTCCATCTCATATACCCAACTCCGGCCCACATTTGTTTCGTCAGTGAAGGCTCAATGAGTTGGAAATATCATTAAATTCTAAGTATGTACTTTGCAACCTAAAGAATAATTGATCTCTCAATATATTTCACCAAATTAGGAAATGAAAATGAAGAGTTTAACTTGTATTTAATGAAGAGATCCAACGTAAACAACATATATATAATGCTTTTCTAATTTCCTAAAACAATGAATAATTTTGTGACCGATCAAATTAAAACAGAAAGTGCGGAAAGTATTTAGAGACGGTTCAGAGAGTATTAATAAGTACACACGATAGTATATAATAGTCATAATAATTTCAAATATGATGTGAGTTATGAAATATATTTAAGGAATATATTATTAATAATTACTCCGTATGAAAAACATTTTTTCCCCAAATCTAGTAAGAAATTAGAAGAAGTCCAGGCTATCCAGCATAAGAAAAGAGAGAACAATTTCTCTAAATAGGACTGAAATAAGGGGAAAATCTTAATAAGGAAAAATCCCGAAATATGAGTAAAAAAGTTTAAAAATTTCAAAATAAGATTGTCATGTTTTTATTCTAAGAATATGAGCAATTACTGTCAAGTTTGGAAAATACTGTTATGTTTAAAAGTATGGTACAGTTAAAACATGACAGTAATTAGTCATATTTTGGAAATAAAAACTTGATAGTCCTATTTTGGAATATAAGAACGTTTTTATTTCTATTTAGGGTAATTTTCCTAAATATTAATGGCTCATTCTGTACTCATTCACTCCTGAAACTTTAATTACTTTATTCTTTTAATAGGATTAAATAAGCACTATTTTGATAATAAAATATACTCTGTATTTAGTCCTAAAGTTTTTTCTATATTTTACTCCTATTTTGAGCAATTTCTTAAAAAAAAAAGAATAGCCCAAAAATGATTAGTCAAACAGAATATGATGCTGTAGTATATTCTTCAATCAAACTGATTATCCCAAGTATTAAATGCTCTCTGTAAACAGAAAAACAATCCATTAATTGTTTTTAATAATTTATCCTACTTGCAAACTTGAGAGAAACCCTATACCAGTGTTCCACAATCCATATTATGAACAAAAGAAGAAGAAATAAGGCATAGGGAGAGGGAGAGAAGTTGACCTCATCAGGGAAAGGAGGGTCAGAGGCAGAAGAGCTGTAGAAGGAAGAAAGGGACTTGGGATCATCACCAGTGGCTGGTGGAGGCTGTGGAGGAATGAGAGCTTCACAGATGGAAGCCAGAGCTTGATACTGAGATGGAGAGAGGCCATGGCTATACTTCTTTCTTCTTCTTCCTCCTTTCAGAGAAGGAAGCCTAGAATACTTCTTTTCATTACTCATCTTTAGCTATACTATTACTACTCAAAGGAGTATATGATATGATATTTAAATTCCCACTCTTGATTTTTTTTTCTCACCTTCTCTTCTTTTTCTCCTCTGCTATATATGTTTCTTATAAGAGGCGGGGGGGGGGGGGGGGGGGGGGTCTGGGTGGCTAGCTAGGTGCCAGGCTTTGTAAGCAGCCAAGTGGAAATTTCAACAGCTGAGCTAATTGGTACTATCATATAGATGGAGTCCTTCAATTCAATTCTTCCCTTGCTGCTTACTTGCGTGCAGTTATGGCATTCATGGACCACCTCTGTCATAGGTATTATGGCATCGAACTACAACATATTACATATTTATTACATCAACCCGTTATGGTTTAGATATTTGTTTATTATTATTTCTGCTCCATACTAGGACACGTCCCTTTATGACTCGGATTTTTCCTACTAACAAACCATATTACTTGAATGGCGAGTCTAACAACCTACACACGTAGTATTATATTTCATATACTACGTATAATGTTGAAATTAAAGAAGAAGAAACAATTGAATTGAATGAATTGCTGAATTATAATCATTAAAAATTTATTTTATTATTAATAAAATAAAAATACTACATATATGAAAAAAGGAACTAAATAGTTGACAGCGGCAAATTATGATTAAAGTAACTCCACTCTTACTACGTAGTAATTTCGTAGTAATTTTGATGATTATATAAGTCATGTTAAGATTTATGCATCCATACTAGAATGCCAATTTGATAACAGAAGTATTCAAATCTTATACGTTCCATGATTTAGGACAAGGAATTAAAAGTTTAGTATTCCCTATTTGGTAAAATATTAACCAATGAAGGCTGATAAGTTGGCAAAAGAAATTACCAAATGGGCTTGCTTTTTTCTTAAAAAGAAAGTGTCAATTGTCATCTAACAAATTTCATCTATACTCAAGAAAAGCTCTAAATTCAGATTCTGAAACGGTCATTTTCAAAGACGCGGCGAGAAAAGTTGACCACAATCGAGCTTGCTTTAATAGTCATTTTGTAACATATGTTTTTCGATTTATCATCCTTGTAAGTCAATCATTACACTAAACTCTTAAATTTTGATTCCAGGCATTGAATCGACTAATAATCAAAATAAACTAGGTTGCTTTATTTTTCTGACTTAATTGACTTAAATTGCTGAATAAGACCATCATAACTATTTTTCATATAGTGTTTTCCTCATTTGATTAGCAAAGTATAATTCATATAAACATTGACTATAAAGCATAAATTTTCAATTAGTTTAATCAATTTCAGTAGATTTGGTCGATTTAATTAATTTAAATGGTCTGAAACGTTCTCAATCATGAAAAATACTAGTGACTTTCTAAGTTATTGACAAAACAGCACAATCTAGTTTTTTGATAAATATGTGTGTAGATTTTGGTTCAAGTGATAAATGCATCTAATGTAAGAAATTGGGATGAGTCTCGACCGTTGCACCAAAAATAGCTTCATGTTGCAGTAAGATTTAAATTTTGCAAGCTTGCACTAAATTGTTTCATATTGCACTGATATTTGATAATGTTGCATTAAAATTTGCTTTAGAAAATGTCACCAAACTAGGTTACATATTTCAGTGCCATATATAGTGTTTTACTGCAAATTAATTGAATTTAATGATTGCGATTCATTCTCATTTCTTACCTAAAAACTTCTTATTTGAACCTCACCCTAAAAGCTTCTTCTTCTTACCAAAACAAAATGGGTTCTCATTTTAAGACGGATTTTCATAATAACTCTTTCATATACTCCATCCGTCTCTAATAGATGTCTCACTTTCTATTTTGGGGTGTTCTTTAATATTTGTTCCCCTTTCCGTTTTTAGAAAGTTTTTTCAATAAATATACTTATATAATATACCCTCATTCCATTTCCTATTTTTTCATTCTATTTCCTATTTTTTCATTCTAACACAACGCACTACACCTTTTACACCACTCCTATTATTTTCCGCTTAAAACTTGTGCCACTCCCATCTATCAGAGGATGGAGGGAGTATATATTAATATTATTAAATATATTTGAGAATATTCACATTCTTGGCAGTTGGCGTTGGGCGTGAGGAATTAAGATATTTTCGATAGAATTTAATGAAAAAAGCGACGCGTTGGATTCGTCTTATCATGAAAGACGGATGTTTAACTAAACGAGTAACTAAGTGGACCCCAGTGGGACCGGCAGCATCGTTGACTTATATTTGTCTCTTCAATTTCATTCAACTTGTAACTTTTAATCATAAATTAAGGTTTGGGTTCACGAGGACAGATCGTATCAGGCCGGCCTGACGGGAACCGCCGTCAAGCCGAGGCCATTTGGGGACCTTCTCGGTGGAATTTGTTGATGAAATATTTTGAGCCTGTTCCTCATCAAGTCTAGTTTATCCATACCAAATTTCAGCTAAAAATTCAATCGGAAAGACAGTCAAAAAAATTCCCTACTAAAACTGTGCATTATTTATATATAAACTGCGCAGTTTTAGTAGAGAATTTTTTTGACTGTCTTTCCGATTGAATTTTTAGCTGAAATTTTGTATGGATAAACTAGACTTGATGAGGAACATGCTCAAAAAATTTCATCAAAAAAATCCACCGGAAAGGACCTCTGATGGCCTCGGCCTGACGGCGGTTTCTGTCAGGCCGGCCTGACAGGATCGGGACTCTTTGGTTCATAACATAATGAAATCATAAATACACACTTAATATTTCGAGGATCCCCTACCTGAATGGGCGGCGTTTGTAGTAATTTTATTTATTTATTGTTTGTATGGTACTAGCTCGTTTTCCACTATAATAATCTTCATATTTTTGGACATCCATCTACCATTCAATGGAGTGATATATACTACGTATGTACCACACTTCAAAGTAAACGCGTATAACATTTCTTCATTATGAATTGTGATACTCAAGAACAGTGACGTACGGAGCCAGAATCAGAGAGGCAGGGGCAGCCAGATCCACCGGGGCTTGAAAATTTTATGCTCCTTATTACTATGTACTCGCCCGTTTCAAAATAATTGATACACTTTGATTTCACAAACATTAAAGAATTTTTTTGGCGAGGAGTAAATTTTACTGTAGACCTACTACGCTGTTTTGGCACTGAGAGGTAAAATATATACTCCCTCCGTCCCGCTAGAAGGTTCCCATTGATGATTTATGATGTTTGACTGACGATAAAGCAACTCAATCCCTGTTCACACTCTGATTATTCTTAGTAAATAAAATTTACATATTCAGAAACTATATCAAAACCGCTACAAAACCTGATACAAAAATGTAAATTTGATAAACATTTGATATATAAAGTAAAAGATTAATAATAATTTAAGTTGACCATGTGAATAGTGGACGAAAACCTTCTAATAGGACGGAGGTAGTATCATATAGTGGCGGACCCAGAAGTTTCCCGAAGCAAGGGCACTCCAACATAGATGAAAATGGGCCGGGCCGGGCCGAATTAGGTGTATCATTGGTCTTTTTTGTTAAGTGCGTTCAAATTAATATTTTTAACTGGAAATAGATAATTCAATGCCGACGTCAAGCAGTGAACATATATGGATTATAAATCTAATTGTGAACTCATTAAGACAATTCTAAACAATAATATTTGACTTTTGGAAAGAAATACATAATTTGACGGATAAGAAATGATTTATCTTTGTGCACTTTATGATTTTACATTAGAATTTTCACTATTTTTCATATTATAAAATGATCAAGATTTCATATTTGAACTAGGATCATGTCGTTGTTATACATTATGCCACAAAATTTGTTGGTACTTGAATGAAATATAATACCATCGTGTTAAAAATGAAGTATAAGTCAAGTTTAGGATTTTATCATTTAATACAACTTTATTTATTAATATGATATATATATATATCTACCTTTTACGAGTATCATATTATAAAAAAAAATTAAAGGGTTTGTCAGTTTGAAACTAATTTATCGCGAATTGATACATTCTTTCATGTATGGACTTTTATTCATCAAGATAAAAGTCTTCAATCTTTTAAGTTTATCCCGCATATAAGAACCTTTTTCATATCTTTGAACTTTAACTTTGGATCGACATTATTCGCAACAAGTAAAAAATCATCAATGCCACTTTTCAAAGAAAGTGCAGTAACCATATAAGGGGGTGTTTGGAACTGATTCTGCTTTTGCTTCTTTTTTAAAGCAGAAGCAGAATCAGAATCAGTTTTCAGAAGTTGGTACCCCTAGGCCCTAGCTTCTAAAAAAACTGATTCTGGGAGTAAATTAGAGCACCAGAAGTGCTTCTGGAATTTCATCCAGACACTCCAGTTTCTGCTTCTGCTCCTTCAAGGAGCAGAATCAGTTTTGAGAATCAGATCCAAACACCCCCTAACAACATATCTAACTATAAGAATGTGCTCCATCACAACTTAAGAGTTGTTTATATTTCTTATTACAATTATTATATGTCTTTGATGGAGTCCTATATTTCTAATAGTTTTTTGAAATAATGACAATATGATTGAAATAAAGATAGTGGACAAAAATATGACTTAGGTACTATCATAGCAATTTTAGTGACCATGATTCTGTTCATTAGTTATATTCCAATAATATTTATGAAAAATAGTCTTACCCGTATAGCAGGGGCACAATTTTTATCTCAAGTACTAATATTCCCTCCGGTTTTTAATAAACTTCACACTTTCCTTTTTGGGACGGTCTAAAATAAACTTCACACTTTCTTATTTCCTTTTTTAGCAAAGAAATCTACACCAAAACAGGGCCAAACAGTGCCAAACAGTGTCTCAACAGTGCCAAACAGTGTCTCTACAGTGCCAAACAGTGTCAAACAGTGCCTCAACAGTGTACTCTACAGTAAAGTCAAATTTCTTTCCTTATTTTGTGTGAAGTCAAACTGTGAAGATTAAAAAAAACCGGAGGTAGTACTAAACTTCATGGTCGGAAGCCGGGGCACTTGCCCCCTAGCCGTCGGGGTAGGGGGCTCCTGAGGGGAGAGATTCTACCTTTTGGATCAAAGGAATTTCGGAGACGGAGAGACCAGGTCTTTCATAGAAGACCTAGGGAGAGAATGTGAAGAGGCGAAAACTCGAGAACCTGAACAGTAGAGTACTAATCTGTACAGATGCTACGGCTGAATTTGGAGCCCAACATTGGTCAAGCATAATGGGCTTAGTTTTTTTTTAAACAATATGGCCTAGGTTGAACAAGATTCTGTGTAGTTTATGTTTTATCATACATATTACGGAGTAATGAAAAATAACACAACTTAAATTGAGTTGTCTGTGACAGACAAATTTTCTGTGAAGGACAGACATGTGTACACATTTTGTGTACACCAAGCATTTTTCAATGAAAAATAACACAACTTAAATTGGTCTGATAATATTCGGGTAAAATGCACCAAACACCTCCATGTTATATAAATCATGCACATTGTCCCCTTCTGTTTTCAAAAATACACCAAACCCATTTATGTTTTGTAAAATCATGCACAAAATCCCTTAAAGAGGCGAGTTTAATATACGTGTATCACATTTGCTTTTTGGTGCGATTTTTTAATCTAATTTCTGCTTCTTGAGCTAAGTAAATGTCAAATTTACCCTTTTACATGAAATAGACAACTCTCATTTTTTTCATCCATTGTAATATACGTAGTATGAAAGAGCATCAAGAAACCAAGGATGCAAATCCAAAACTAAATATAATGCATGTTCCATGTCAAGTTCATTTAGGGCGATTTGGTAACACTATTTTTCATCTTATCGGCTTATCATCCAAATTTTTACCAAACACGTAATTTTTGTTTTCGCACGCGGAATTGTGTAATACTACGTAATAAGAAAAAGTAAGGTTAAAGTTACTTTTCTGGCTGTATTGGCTGAAGTTACTGTAGATGATCATTTTAGCTTTTTTTTAGATATAATTTTTTCTTTATTTTATCAATAAAGAATATTTTAAAAATAATATATTCTTAAATCAACAGAATCAGCCAATGCGGCCATTTCAGTCAGAACTTCATAAATTTCAGCAGAATATAAGCCGAATCAGCCGATTTTTGTGTTACCAAACGGACTCTTATTTTAACAAGCAACCATTTTTTGGTGCCTAAACAATGACAAGAAAAATAGTACAAACAACACAAAAGACTAAATATAAGGACTAAACAACGGAAAATATCAATACTAACATCACAAAATAAAAAACTACATGCTTGGGAGCTCATAAAATCAATATAAAAACAGTGTTTTACACAAGTTTAATATATTCCAAAAAAATATAAGCACAAATCCATACAAAAAAGAGAGTTCAATTACCAAAACAGATTACGTAGGCTTTATTCTTAATGTTGTTGACGATGGATTTTTGGATGGTTGAACAGTTGGATGGGTTTTAATCCATGGTGTAGCCGGTGGTGTAGTGCCGCTGTGTCGGAATTAAAAGGGGTATAAATGGAAATTCAGAAAATAGAAAAAATGGTTAAATACTTATCTACATAAGGGGAATGTGAGCATGATTAATCAAAACTGAAGGAGGTTTCATGCTTTTTCAATAACACAAGGGGATAATTTGCATGTTTTTATTACATGAGGGGATTTTGTGCAATTTACCCGATAATATTCCCGTAACCAAAATGAGCAATCTCGAATTCTATAAAAATAGAGAGAATTTTATTTTTAATCTATTTCTAAAAATAGTGTAACTTATGTTTGGTTCTTAATTACTCCGTATCATGCATGTTTGTCCCATAATATAATTATCACGTGACATTAGTTATTCGCTGTAGCAGATTTAATATAAAAATGATCCGTGATATGAAGGTGTTTAAAATGTTGGATAAGTTGGATTTTTACACAATCTTTTACTAGAATCATTTATTTTAATTTTAAATACTAAGTATATAAGCCTAATATCAGGAATGTGAATGAAAAGTTACATTGTATGTTTAGAAATTTCAATCTCTTTTGGTCTACATGGATGAGCCTCCTATATTGTACACCCGGATGTATGTACATCCCATTTTTAAAAAACAGTAAACCCTTTGCTTAGTACCCAACCTGGACTGAATTGGGAACTGGATTCCTTCATTAAAAAAATAAAACATCAGGGAGATTTGATCCCTAGACCTAGAAATCAATATGCAACCTTCCAACCATCTTGCTACTTGCCTTGTTGATAGAATCTGTTCTTTTATCTTACTTATCCTATGTATTTTCATACTCCGTACTACAATTGTTTATTAATGGTAATTATAATATTAACTATTCTTTGCTTTTGTTCATTATTACTATATTAAAAGACTAATTCATATTTTTGAAGTACTTATTTGAGCTAGGAATCATACTATTAATTTATATAAATATATTTATAATTTTATTATATATTGGTAGGTTCCTAATAAGTCTGATGTTCATCAAAAGTTTTTTAATGCTCATAATAGGTCCGATGCACATTAAAAGTTCATTAATGCTCATTAAATAGAAACTGTGATTTTCATTTTAATAGATGATGTTAGATGCTCAATCATTTCAATAGATGAGGTTTGATGCTCAATGAAATATGTTGTTATGTCAAACTAACAAACTTTGCAATTTTCATATCAACGAACATTTTGTAAGTTACGTATGCTAATCCGGTACTGATCTTATGCTCATTTTCTAAATGTCATATCAATGCATTTGCTTTAAAGTACTATTTTACATTAGGTTCACATATTGAAATTCATAGGAGTTGATTAGAAATATAATTTGATAAGTTTTTATAAAAGGAAAAATAACAAAAAGAAAGTGAATTAGAAGTTATGAAGCAGAGATCACGATTTTGAATATTAGACTTCTAATACTCAACATAATAGGTACGATGCTCATTAAAAGTTCATTAATGCTCATTCACCAGAAACCGTGATTTTCATTTCAATGGCGGAAATTTGATGCTCAACTAAAATTTCTTGATATTCAACTAACAAATCTTGCGATTTTCATATCAATGTGCACTTTGTAAGTTATGTATGCTCATTTGGTACCGATGATATGCTCATTTTTAAAATGTCATATCAATGCATGTTTCAAAAGTATCATATGAGCAAATTAAACTAACCAAATGCGCATGTATATGAAAATTGCCAGGTTTGTTAGTTGAGTATCACAACACTTTCATTGAGCATCAAACCTCCTCTCTTGAGATGAAAATCACAGTTTTTGTTAAATGAGCATTAATTAACTTTTGATGAGCATCAAACCTATTTTGTTGAGTATTATGAGTCTAATGTTGAACATTGTGATATCTGCTTCATAACTTTTAATTCACTTTCTTTTGTTATTTTTGCTTTTGTAAAAATCTCTTTTAAATTATATCAATGATCAACTCTTATGAACTTCAATATGTGAATTTGTGGTACTCTAGAAATATGCATTATATGACATTTTAAAATGAGTATAACATTAATACCAAATCAATATAGGTAACTAACAAAATGAGCATTAATATGAAAATTATACATTTTGTTAGTTGAGCATCAATACATTTTGAGTGAGCATCAAACCTCCGATATTGAGTACTAGAATCATGTGATTGAGTATCATGATTTGTGCCCGCATGTTTATAATCAACTCTTATGTGATTTGAGTATAATGTAATATGATACTTTTGAAATATGCATTGATATAACATTTTAAAATGAGCATAACAACGTTAATGAATGAGCATATATAACGTACAAAATGAGTTTTTATTAAAAACATGCAAATTATCCCCTTGTGTTATTGAAAAAGCATGAAACCCCCTTCAGTTTTGATTAATCATGCTCACATTCCCCTTATGTAGATAAGTATTTAAAAAATTCAAAAACTCATTTGTGTATGTTCATTCTATTTAAGCGTTTTACTCATTTGAGTTTAAAATAAAACTCATTTCTAATGTGTTCAGTATTTAATAGATAGTATATAAAGAAAAAAGAAAGAAGAAAACAACAACAACAACAACAAAATAAACGAAAAGAAGAAAAGTTAAAAGACAAATGAAAAGTATTTGTAAAATATTACGGGAAGTAATGGCTTACCAATGTGGTAGCCTTAGACATGTATTTATACTAATCAAGGTAAAGGAATTACACAATGGTCATTAGTAATAATAATAATAATATAACTACGTTATTACACCCCCTCAATCTGTGCAGGGGAAACCACGTGCAGATTGGAACGTAAAAACTCAAAATGCTGACTAGTGAGATTCTTCGTGAAAATATCCGCAAGCTGGAACTGAGTAGGAATGTATCTGACAACAAGATCCCCATGAACTACTCGTTCACGTACAAAATGATAGTCAATTTTAATGTGTTTGCTGCGATCATGCTGAATAGGATTAACAACAAGGTAAGAGGCAGAAACATTATCACAAAAAAGCTTGACCGGATCCGAGACCAAGATGCCCATATCTGCCAAAAGAGATCGAATAAACAGCATATCCTGAACAGTATATGCCACAACCCGATATTCAGCTTCAGTGGAGGATTTTGAGACGGTAGGCTGCTTCTTGGACCTCCAAGAAATAAGATTTCCACCCAGAAAAATAGCAAAGCCTGTGGTGGAGCGACAACTATCGGGACAGCCAGCCCAATCCGCATCGGAGTAAGCAACCACTACCGAAATCTTCTGACCTGACCGAAGCCATAAACCATGTGTCAAAGTGCCCTGTAAGTACCTGTAAATACGCTTAACAGCAGCTAAGTGAGTAGTACGTGGAGCATGCATAAACTGAGAAACCAGGTGAACGACATATGTAATATCAGGTCGGGTAATAGTCAAGTACTGTAACGCACCTACCATACTACGGTAGTCAGTAGCATCACTCAAAAGTTCCCCACCAGTGAGAGATAAAGTGGTACGGGAAGGGAGGTTTTTTTTACAGACTTAACGGTATGAAGATGAAAACAGCGTAAGAGGTCAGAAGTATATTTGTGCTGAGACAAAAATAAACCCTTGGGAGTGTGATGTGCTTGAATACCCAAAAAATAGTGCAAACTACCCAGATCTTTCATAGCAAATTGTTTGGACAAAATAAGGATAAACTGGTCAACAAGAGACTGAGAGCTACCTGTGATAAGAATATCATCCACATAAAGTAAGATATATAGAACACGATGTAGAGATTGAAAAATAAACATGGATGAGTCGGACCGACTCTGAGAAAAACCTTGAGAGAGAAGAAAGCCACTGAAACGATGAAACCAAGCTCTAGGTGCCTGCTTAAGACCATAGAGAGCTTTAAGGAGACGACAGATATGAGAAGGATAGGAAGGGTGAATAAAACCTGGAGGCTGACGCATGTAGACTTCTTCTGTGAGGTGACCATGTAGGAAAGCATTTTTGACATCAAGTTGATGCACAGTCCACCCAAGAGAAATAACAACAGAAAGAACCAAACGAACAGTAGTGAGTTTTACCACAGGACTAAAGGTCTCAGAAAAATCTATCCCAGCCTGTTGATTAAACTCTTAAGCAACCAAACGAGCCTTATGGCGCTCTATGGAACCATCAGAACGATATTTAGTCTTGTAAACCCATTTGCACCCAACCACATTTTTATTCGAGTCATAAGGAACTAAATCCCAAGTTTTATTAGTAATTAGTGCATTAATTTCATCCGCCATGGCAGCTCGTCAAATTAAAGATTTATTTGCTTGAGAAAAACAAGTGGGATCACTGGGAAGAGCTAAAGTATTAAGAGTAAAAATATTATTGGGTTTTAAAATGCCATCTTTAGCTCTAGTGCACATGGGGTGAATATTGGGAGCCATTCGTGAAGGGGTGGCGTGTATGGGCTGATCGGTGAGGGGTGAGGCCGAAGATGTGTGAGGTGAGGATAGTTCACTGCCAGAAGGAGAATGAGGTGTGAGTGGAGTGGTGGGAGGTGAGGCGTCAGCTGAGGAGTCTGGGGTGGTGTTTAAGGGTGTCGGGTGAGGTTGTATGGGTGTAGTGGCGGTGGAGAGAGTGGGGGAGGTGGCTAGGGTGTACTGTAATGTGCCTACGGCTGGGGATGGTAAGACTGGACCATCTGATGAACGCCCGACCGGGCGGGCAGTGAGGGTCGGAATCCAAGGTTGGAGGGAATGGTTTGGAGAGGTCGGTGAGGATGTGAGGGTAGGATAAGGAAAAACGTGTTCAAAAAATTGAACATCCCTGCTTATGTAGACATGGCCAGTCCGGGGATCCAGACAACGGTAACCTTTATACCCCGGAGCATACCCAAGAAAAACAGAATGCACAGACCGTGGAGATAACTTATTAGAGGAACTAGCGACAATGTTGGGGAAATATGCACAACCAAACACTCGCATAAAATTATAATCAGGGGGTTTGTTAAAAAGTTTCTCATATGGAGACAAACCATGCAAATAGGTGTTGGCAGATGATTAATAATAAAAGTAGCAGTATAGAGAGCATTAACCCAAAAAGAGGAAGGAAGATGAGAGTCTAAAAGCATGGTTCGAGACAATTCAAGTAAATGCCTATGTTTACGTTCTGCCACACCATTCTGTGCAGGAGTGCCCGAACAAGATTGTCGAAAAAGAATTCCATGAGTCAAAAAATGAGAGTGAAAAAGAGAATTTACAAACTCACCCCCTCCATCACTTTGAAAACATTTGATTTTGCAATCAAATACATTTTCTACAAGTTTCTGAAAGTGACAAAAATTAGTAAAAACTTCAGACTTGTAACGAAGAGGGTAAATCCAAGTAAAACGAGAGAAATCATCTATAAAAGAAACATAATATTTAAATCCTAAATTTGACAAAGTAGGCGACTGCCAAACATCAGAGTGAATAATTTGTAAAGGAGCAGTAGTCGTATGCAAAACATCCTGAAAGGGAAGACGGTGGGACTTTCCCAGTTTACAAGAAACACACTCATGAGAAAAATTACTAGTACCAAAAATTAAATTATTTTTCCTAAGAAGAAGATATAAAACACGATCTCCACAATGTCCAAGTCGTTTGTGCCAGACTGGGCCTGGAACTAGCGAGGTCTTTAAAGCAGGAGCAAAGGTGGTCGGGTGGGCAGCTTGAAAGGGGTAGACAGAGTCTTTACTGGAGGCCTGGAGTAGAATGGCTCCCGTGTGATTGTCCTTAACAGAAAAATAATATTTATCGAAAATTACTGAACAATCATTATCCGCACATAAATGCTGAATAGATAACAAATTATATTTAAGGTGCGGTACATGAAAGACAGTATTTAATTTAAGTGGGCGGACAAGGGTAGATAAATTTACAGAACCAATTTTAAAAACTGGAGTTTTATTTCCATTAGCAACTTGAACAGAAAAAGAGTCCGGTGAAATGGATTTACTAGAGAGAATACCTTCGTGTGGTGTCATATGAGCCGATGCCCCTAAATCAGGATACTAAACAGACTCATTCGACTCATCCGTAGGAAAAGCCGCCAGTGTTGGGGTAGAAGTGAAACGAAGAATTCGTGTGTCTTATCGTTATGTCATTTGCATTTTTAGTTTACATGTTGCAATTTATTATTATGACATGTGCATTTTGGAAGTTCGTATTTTGCACTTTAGTAAGATGATAAGTGCACTTTAATAGTTCATACTGCATCTCATCGCTATGACTTCTGCATTTTAGTAGTTCATATGTTGCACTTAATTATTATGCATGTGCATTTTAGAATTTTATACACTACATTTTAGTAAGATTGTGTGTGCACTTTAGAAGTTCATACACTGCATCTTAGTAAGATAGCATGTGCATTTCAGAAGTTCATATGATGCATTTTATCATTTGACCTCCCATATGCACTCTGTAAGTTTATACTGCATCTTATCGCTATGGCATCTGCATTATATACTTAACTCACATGCATAATAAATTAATGAGGTTACCTAATGCATAATACATGAGCAACATAAGAACATCATAAATTTTTCAGGGAGATTAAGCACTTAAGCATTTTTATTTTTGCATAAACACGAATTGGATGAATTTCTTGAAGACAAAAATCAAAATGTTAAATATAATAAATCTCATAAAGGACAAAAAAATGTTGTTCCGGCGTGCACACCGGATCTCATTGCGACGGAGATTAGACACAATTCAAAACGTTAAAATATGATTAATCTCATAAAGAACAAAAAAAATTCCGACATGCAAGATTTCATGGGCTAGCTGGAGACGGAGATGGAGATAAAAAAATAATTCAGGAAAGTATGGTTAAATATCAGAATTCATGTTGTCCTCTATTAATAGAGGCGAAGAAGTTATACCCAAATCAAATTTCTATGATGAAGAATAAATAAGATTCTCAGATGGAATGAAAGAATATAATGTTTCATCAACGAAGAAGGAAGAATATGAAATAACCATGAAGAAGAAGTTATGGAAAGAGAGTATGGAATAGAAAGAGAGTATGGAATAGAACGTGATAGTTTATCCAAAATTAGAACAAAGCAAAAGGACTTAAAGACCCCTGAATTTGTAAAATGAGGCAACCGCATACGGATGGTAATCTGCACTAAACTAATGGCTAGGATTAGGTTTGTAGGTTAGCATATTAAGATGGATTTTCATTTGATCTCTTACCTATATATATATATATATATATATATATATACTAGCTGGGCTGCGCGCGGTGCGCGTGAATTGTGCCCAATGATAGTAGCTAAGATAATGGAATATGGGTAATATTTTTTTGAAACCATAGAGTGTAAGTAATAAGGTAATAATTCTGATAAATTGTAGTGTTGTTCAAAAGGAGTTTAATGAAAGTGTGTTGCTGGATGATTGTAGTGTTAGTTGTGGCAGAAATAACGGGTCAGTCAAAATAAACAAGAAGGCATCAAAAAAATGGCATAACGTTTTAGCGGATCAAGAAGGAGCGGCATGGTCGATGGTGTAAGAGCTACAGATTTTGTAGTTGTGGGTGTGAATGGGTGGTTTGGTGAATGAGCCTACCCCTACCCCAGCCATACTTGAAGAATGCAATGGTGGTTTGGTTTGTAAGTCCGAAATGAATTTGAAACTGGCAAAGTATTGGGCGGTTCGTATTACCATATGCGCGTCATCTGTTTCAAGGAATGCTTGGAAGTGACCTTCTTGATCGCTGGTTTGACGTAAGAAAGTTTCACAACTTTGCTGCATTGAAAACATAAGAATACACATTAGTTGGTGGGTAATGTGATTGACAAAAATATGCTGTGGTAACTAAAGTTGCAGTTTGTAGGAACACAAAGAATAGCGCCAGTTTGAGGGCAAACTGTGGAACAGTACAGTAAGGAGAAGGTGAAATTTAGAAAAGTTGTAAGAGGAAGTGAACAGCAGTGGGGGGGTTTGGAGGATAGAAGATCTGCAAGCTAAGGCAAGGAAGAACCCCGTTGCAGAAAGAGTTTGACGTTGTGGTCCAGTTGTGGGCTGTTCGTGAATACCAATAGTGGGTATTTCATATGTATTATGAGAGTGAGTGAGTTCGTGCAGATCGCAGGTGAAAATGAGAAGCACTGAAGCAGTAGTGCTTCATGCTGGTCATGTGGCAGTAACAATATAGTGGACCAGTGTACAATGGTGATGTATACAGTAATGCTGTATGTTGGTCATGTGTACAATGGTGATTCAGGGTTTGTTTGGTTTGGCATGAGGGGAGTGTGAAGTTTTAAAAAAAAAATTGGAAGTAGAATAAAGAGCGCCATTAGAAAAAGAATGTAAAGGGCCACATTTGAGCAGGGTTATTTGGTACGTAAAGACAAGAGGCAGCATACCTTTTATGTAGAGAATACATATTTCTGGGGATGAAGAACAGAAGAAAATGCCTTTGTGGGGAACAGAAAGTTTGGTGAATGGATCTGGGGAATGTAAAGTAATGGAACTGTTAAACATCAGCATTTTAGAGGCGGAAGTAGGAATGCAGTCCACAAAGCACTAAACTTGACAGGTGAAGAAGTACTTTTTTACAGAAGGTGTGTACAAGGTGTGAAATGGCCGAATAGGTGATGACACAGCTATTTTGTAATTTGCTGAACAATAAAGGTGGTAAATAATGGCAGGAGTATGAATAGGCATAGTTAGGGAACAAATAAACATCAACATGGAATGCATCTCTTCGTAGGGAGTATATGAAGATCAATAATAATATTAAGAAACCCTTTTATAAAAAGAAATAATTGGGCTGAAATAGCCCTAGTTATAAAAATAGGGGAAAAGTAATGTATGGAAGAGGGAGAAATATACAATCTTGAGTGTGGTGTAACTTAGTAATACGACTAAATAGACCTTTTTCGGGGAAGTAAATAGTTGACATGGGCTGAGGATGTAAAAGGAATGAATGGCATAAATAAGGTACAAGGAAAAACCAACCTTTAAGCAAAGGCGTAGCCAGGTGGCAATGGAAGAAATGGTTAGGTTTGTAATGAAGTTTGTTTTTTTGCGTCAACTTACTGCAGTCAAAGCAATAACAGTCCAAAAGGGATGTGACGTGTTTCTTTTGATCTGGAAGTACTAAGAAAGCCAGAACACAAGCGGTATACATATTTATAAGAACTAACAAAGGCAGAATACAAGCAAGATACATATGCAGTTAATAAACAATGAATTTTCACGTAATGGTGTTCTATTTTTTTTGGGCAGGGGCATTGTGGGGTGGCTGGTGTAACACCCCCAATTTCCCACCCGAAACATTGATTTAATTGAAATAAAACTTTTATTTATTGAAAATTTGAAGAGTATAGCGGAAGTCTTAATAAGGGAAACGGGTGTCACCGCCACATCCGGTCATCTCTCAACCGGATGCACAGGCAACTAAAGTATAACAACTTTAACTCAATAAAAATAAAGTGTTTGTAAAGTAAATATTCATTTCATGACTAGTATGACTAAGGCAACTTCTAATTCGCTCTCAGGCCACGCAAGCAATCATCAATCAACAAGAACATCCTCACCTGCACGAATAAAGTGCAGAAACAAAACAAGGAAAAGAAAACAAAAGTTAGCTTTAGAGCTAAGTAAGTACTACCCAACCCCGTAAAATAATCATGTTTGACTAAAATAGATTTTTATATATAATATATAAAAATACTCACGCCATCGAAATTCTTTTCACTTGATTTTTCTTAAAGCCACTTCTTTACTAAAATTCTCAACTTTTCTTTAAAATTTCATAATAACTCTTCTCTTTGATTTCCTCAAAAATCACTTCTTCTCTAACTTCCTAGTAATTTAGAAGGGCGGTGCTCAACCTTTCGGAGAGCCCGGTGGACCGTGGTTATGGACGGCCACCCCGAACAAATGCCGGTACCACAACTGCTCTATTGGAAACGAAACGACTACCTTAAGTGTGCACACCCCCTAAAAGGGATTCCAAGCCCTCCGAGTAGTAAGTCGTAACGAGTAGTCGGGACTCAGTCTACCAACTACCCCTGAAAAATATCTTGAATGATTAGGGACTACTACTACCATAACTTCTTCTTAAAAAGGATCATCGATCCAAATATCACTTTAAACTCAAACTATACTTCTTCGTAGTAGCAGACCTAATCACCCTCCACATTTATCCGGACGTGGAAAACCGACACCGCGGATTTCTCCCGTGGCGCTCACTTCTTATGAAATCATTCTTTTATCTTGAATTAACATACATCAAAAAATATTCCTCAACTTCTCAAATTGCCTCAAAAATATTTAAATAAAATATGTAATTCCCAGAAGCACTTAGTTTCACTTCTCAAATATCACAACTCAAATAATCTCAAAATCACATGCATAAAAATCATAATTCACACTTAAAATCACGTATCACATAATACATATATAATACGAGGAAACAATTTTGGATTGGCAGAGAAACTTACCTCAACTGCAATTATTCTAAGAAATTTCTCTAACTTGGTCTTCACCCAATCTACCTTCTATTGAAAATTCTAAAGTCAATAGGTAGTAAAGATTATAATTGAATACTCTACCCTTTATGATTCCCCGATTATTATTACTTCTTAATTATTCATTAATCAACTCTATTAATGATATTGTAACAATAATATTAATCCAACTTTATCAATTAAGTTAATCCTTGTTGTTATTTAGCCAAATAAATTTCAATAAGTAATTAAAAAAATTAATCGTGTACTTCAATGATTCCAAAAATGTAAATTAAGTGATTAAGTACAATTAAAATCTAATCCGATTAAAATAATCCAATTATTTCGGTGAAATAATTAGTTTGATACTTCCTCTTTAACCCAAACTTGTACATTAAAAATTGACAATTTATAAAGAGTGAAAGCTATCAAATTATACTTTATTAAAATTCTCCTAATTCAATTATCATTTTTCTTGTTCGTATTATTACATTTTATGTTCGTATATTATTGCTATTAATATTACTCTGTCATTATGGTTATTATTCAGCCCAGCCCAACAAACAAGTTAAAACTATATGGAGTAGTTCGTTCATCGTCTTCTTCACGCCAGTAAGGCTGGTAAAACGAGGACAGTTTGCTTACCTACGACGGCGCGGCGGCGAGTAGAACGGCGCAGGGAGAGAAGCAAGTCTCTGGCGGCGGCGATTTCATTCTTCAGCGGCCGCAGATTGGTCCGGCGGTGACAACTCCGGCCTTCCCCTCTTCCTCCATCGTGAAAACGGTCCAGCGACCTTGCTACTGCACCTCCGACGACGATCGTTTTCCCCCATTCTCACCCCCTTTCTTTCTATCCGACAACCCCTCTCTATTTCTCACGTTTTCTTTTCTTCCTTCTTCCTATGTTACTCGCTCGTATGTTTGCTTAGTTTTGGTGCCGCGAAGGTCTTCAATGGTTTCGCTATTTATATAGCTGGCCAAGCGTTCCAGTCGTCGGTTTCTTACGTTAAGAAATCTTCTGCTTTAAATTCTCACTTAAAAACTTTCCTTCGTTGGTTAAATGTTGGTTAATACGCATGTTAATTATTTTCAATATTTTGTAAAGAATCCGGCGCTAGAATAGGTTCCATACACGCATGAGCTAAATATGGTAAGCATGTTAACGAGTGTTATACTCTATTAATACATGCATATAGCAGTTGTGGACTTTTGGTACGCTATTATAAAAAAAAGGAGGCAATGTGATCCCTTGTATGTATTATTATTATTATTATTATTATTATTATTATTATTATTATTATTATTATTATTATTATTATTATTATTATTATTATTATTATTATTATTATTATTATTATTATTATTATTATTGTTATTATTATTATTATTATTATTATTATTATTATTATTATACGTAGTATATGCACATTATACTATTATTATAGGTTGCTCGAGGATTAATCATGTATACTCTTAATCTTCTTTTGTGGAAAGGTCAACTTTAATATTCTAAATGTTATTCAATGGATACCTTATTAACTAATTAACATTTGTCAAAATGTCACTTCCATAATTATTAGTTACTTCTATTATTGAAACTTTTTATCTAAAGTGTCACAATTGTTAAAACTTTATCAGATACACTTAGATCAGAAAAGTTACTTTTGTAAAATTTTATCTGACTAATTTTATCTGACCAATAAAATAATATATATATTTTAAAAAAAAAAAAAAAAAAAAAAAATCGGAGTGTCACAATCTACCCTCCTTAAAAGAATGCTTCGTCCCCGAAGCATAACCTAAATTATTTATTTATCTAATTCTTTTTTTTCAAGGTGTCACAATCTTTCTTGCTTAAAAGAATGCTTCATTCCCAAAGCATAAGCTAGCATTAGTAATTTATGAAGTATTACGGCGTAATTTTTAAAGAGGGGTTACTATACGTCCTTGTAACTACATTATTACCTTAGGTCAAGAGGGGTAAGATTTGCGATTAACATCCTCCTCTCCCGAGTGACATTCTAGATGAAACGGTATGACCTTAACTTTCACGAATTTGACTGCTTACTTCGATCTAGTCTTATTCTAGTCTTACATGTCTTAATAAGTAATAAAGCGTTCAAAGGCTTCTCAGCTATTTGAAATACACACACAAGTCCTTAACTAAGTCCATATCTAAATTCTAATTCTAACACATATATATACATCCAAAGATGTTATCAAACCTCATATATTACACACAAGCAATTAACTCCATGAATTTTCACAACTCAATCATACAGATCCATAACTTTAAAGTGTAGTTCACAATCCTCACCTCGTTCCTAATATGTCTTTTTCTAATCATTTTCTTTTTCCTATATTTTTTTTTTGAAGTTTTATTTAGAAAACTTTTTGGAAAACCACTTTGGAAAAATCTCCCAGAAAAACAACCTTAGGCTCTGATACCAATTTGTAACACCCCCAATTTCCCACCCGAAACATTGATTTAATTGAAATAAAACTTTTATTTATTGAAAATTTGAAGAGTATAGCGGAAGTCTTAATAAGGGAAACGGGTGTCACCGCCACATCCGGTCATCTCTCAACCGGATGCACAGGCAACTAAAGTATAACAACTTTAACTCAATAAAAATAAAGTGTTTGTAAAGTAAATATTCATTTCATGACTAGTATGACTAAGGCAACTTCTAATTCGCTCTCAGGCCACGCAAGCAATCATCAATCAACAAGAACATCCTCACCTGCACGAATAAAGTGCAGAAACAAAACAAGGAAAAGAAAACAAAAGTTAGCTTTAGAGCTAAGTAAGTACTACCCAACCCCGTAAAATAATCATGTTTGACTAAAATAGATTTTTATATATAATATATAAAAATACTCACGCCATCGAAATTCTTTTCACTTGATTTTTCTTAAAGCCACTTCTTTACTAAAATTCTCAACTTTTCTTTAAAATTTCATAATAACTCTTCTCTTTGATTTCCTCAAAAATCACTTCTTCTCTAACTTCCTAGTAATTTAGAAGGGCGGTGCTCAACCTTTCGGAGAGCCCGGTGGACCGTGGTTATGGACGGCCACCCCGAACAAATGCCGGTACCACAACTGCTCTATTGGAAACGAAACGACTACCTTAAGTGTGCACACCCCCTAAAAGGGATTCCAAGCCCTCCGAGTAGTAAGTCGTAACGAGTAGTCGGGACTCAGTCTACCAACTACCCCTGAAAAATATCTTGAATGATTAGGGACTACTACTACCATAACTTCTTCTTAAAAAGGATCATCGATCCAAATATCACTTTAAACTCAAACTATACTTCTTCGTAGTAGCAGACCTAATCACCCTCCACATTTATCCGGACGTGGAAAACCGACACCGCGGATTTCTCCCGTGGCGCTCACTTCTTATGAAATCATTCTTTTATCTTGAATTAACATACATCAAAAAATATTCCTCAACTTCTCAAATTGCCTCAAAAATATTTAAATAAAATATGTAATTCCCAGAAGCACTTAGTTTCACTTCTCAAATATCACAACTCAAATAATCTCAAAATCACATGCATAAAAATCATAATTCACACTTAAAATCACGTATCACATAATACATATATAATACGAGGAAACAATTTTGGATTGGCAGAGAAACTTACCTCAACTGCAATTATTCTAAGAAATTTCTCTAACTTGGTCTTCACCCAATCTACCTTCTATTGAAAATTCTAAAGTCAATAGGTAGTAAAGATTATAATTGAATACTCTACCCTTTATGATTCCCCGATTATTATTACTTCTTAATTATTCATTAATCAACTCTATTAATGATATTGTAACAATAATATTAATCCAACTTTATCAATTAAGTTAATCCTTGTTGTTATTTAGCCAAATAAATTTCAATAAGTAATTAAAAAAATTAATCGTGTACTTCAATGATTCCAAAAATGTAAATTAAGTGATTAAGTACAATTAAAATCTAATCCGATTAAAATAATCCAATTATTTCGGTGAAATAATTAGTTTGATACTTCCTCTTTAACCCAAACTTGTACATTAAAAATTGACAATTTATAAAGAGTGAAAGCTATCAAATTATACTTTATTAAAATTCTCCTAATTCAATTATCATTTTTCTTGTTCGTATTATTACATTTTATGTTCGTATATTATTGCTATTAATATTACTCTGTCATTATGGTTATTATTCAGCCCAGCCCAACAAACAAGTTAAAACTATATGGAGTAGTTCGTTCATCGTCTTCTTCACGCCAGTAAGGCTGGTAAAACGAGGACAGTTTGCTTACCTACGACGGCGCGGCGGCGAGTAGAACGGCGCAGGGAGAGAAGCAAGTCTCTGGCGGCGGCGATTTCATTCTTCAGCGGCCGCAGATTGGTCCGGCGGTGACAACTCCGGCCTTCCCCTCTTCCTCCATCGTGAAAACGGTCCAGCGACCTTGCTACTGCACCTCCGACGACGATCGTTTTCCCCCATTCTCACCCCCTTTCTTTCTATCCGACAACCCCTCTCTATTTCTCACGTTTTCTTTTCTTCCTTCTTCCTATGTTACTCGCTCGTATGTTTGCTTAGTTTTGGTGCCGCGAAGGTCTTCAATGGTTTCGCTATTTATATAGCTGGCCAAGCGTTCCAGTCGTCGGTTTCTTACGTTAAGAAATCTTCTGCTTTAAATTCTCACTTAAAAACTTTCCTTCGTTGGTTAAATGTTGGTTAATACGCATGTTAATTATTTTCAATATTTTGTAAAGAATCCGGCGCTAGAATAGGTTCCATACACGCATGAGCTAAATATGGTAAGCATGTTAACGAGTGTTATACTCTATTAATACATGCATATAGCAGTTGTGGACTTTTGGTACGCTATTATAAAAAAAAGGAGGCAATGTGATCCCTTGTATGTATTATTATTATTATTATTATTATTATTATTATTATTATTATTATTATTATTATTATTATTATTATTATTATTATTATTATTATTATTATTATTATTATTATTGTTATTATTATTATTATTATTATTATTATTATTATTATTATTATACGTAGTATATGCACATTATACTATTATTATAGGTTGCTCGAGGATTAATCATGTATACTCTTAATCTTCTTTTGTGGAAAGGTCAACTTTAATATTCTAAATGTTATTCAATGGATACCTTATTAACTAATTAACATTTGTCAAAATGTCACTTCCATAATTATTAGTTACTTCTATTATTGAAACTTTTTATCTAAAGTGTCACAATTGTTAAAACTTTATCAGATACACTTAGATCAGAAAAGTTACTTTTGTAAAATTTTATCTGACTAATTTTATCTGACCAATAAAATAATATATATATTTTAAAAAAAAAAAAAAAAAAAAAAAATCGGAGTGTCACAGCTGGGGACTAATGTTAGGAAATGTATGAGCACACAATAAATGCTCTGTTTCCCAGTAAAAAAGGAATAATTTAAATTTAGTAATACATGATTAATAAGCATTAGTTGTCTGCGTTTGGTCAGAGCCGAAGGACATATTGAATCTTAAAACAGCAAATGAACATTCAGTTTTTTAAAGTCTACATCAACCATGAAATAGCAACCCAAACAAACGACAGACTGATGGAGTAGGAATTATGCATAAGGGGCAGTAGTGTTGGCACATGTAGATGTAGAGATTTCATATTTTTTTGCCCGCTTTGGTGGTTCTTCGACCCCACATGGTGATATGGCCATCAGTAACGCTATTCCAGGGACATACTTGACAAAGACAAGAGGATAATGGCGCTTCAATGCAAAGGTAGTTCGAATGTTGCGCAACATTGGCCCCTCTTTAGGGGAAAAATATGCATTGTCCTTGCCAAAGTGCATTTCCAGGTGGCCGTCTATGTTGGCACATGAGTTTAAAAAGGCTTCACAACATTCCTGCACCCAAAAGGAAGTCTAAATTTCAAGAAATCCTAAAATAAACAGTGAATATATTTGACATGCCGGGAATTCAGACATTGAACATAGTTTAAAGAGGGAGTGTAGATATGTGTAGGCAGTTGACTTGTCAATTGTATAAGAATTGTGCATGGAATGGCAGTTGTTGTTAATTGTTGTATTTAGCACCTAGGCAGATACAGTGTGCGAAACAACACAAAAGAATAGAAGAGGAGAAACCGCAGGAAGTTCAGAGGCCCAATACTACGACATATATGTACCTTCGAAGTATGTTTACGCACATACAGGAAAGATGGAGGTTTGTACAGCTGTCTATAAGAGCAGTTCGGAAGACAGGATTCCACGCAGACCGTAAAAACATCTGTGGATTTTAAAAAAACACAGGTAATTGGTGCCCACAGTAAGATGTCATAAAAAATATAATTTAGGGAGATGTTGAGAGGGGAAAAAAATAGTAAATGGCATGCATACAAGTGAAAGGTAAAAGGAAAGTAATAATGCAATAAATGGACCTTGTTGTTGTGATGTGGTGGAGGAACCCATGGGGGGCGCGGCAAGGTTCAAAGAGAAGCCCAAATTATCGAACATCAGAACTTGGAATTTGAAATTACCAATGTGCTGGAGCAACATGTATGTCCCAACCTCAACATCATTTTCAATTAAAAATGCAGCAAGGCCATCTGAGAAGCAAAAGTCATCAACTTTGACTGTCCATGTTCGAGCACCATAAATGAGACTACTGTAGCGCTTGGCATGTTCAAAGAGATGGCGATGCATGCATACAGGAATGGCCTGGGAAAAAAACGTAAATTTTAAAAAGGGCATGAAAAAGTAAGTATGAATGGACAAAACAAGAGATACAGGACAACAAAAAGTAAGTGTACAGCAGAATTGATGTGAGTGGCCTTTAAGAGAAACCAAACAATGTTGAATTGGAGGACATCGGGGAGATGAAGTGAACGAGTCTTTGGGCATTCTGCGTAGGCAAAAGTTATTACAATATGTGTTAAAGAACACCAGGTGATAAAAAACTGATTAGTAAACAGTTTATACAAATATGTGTGTGTGTGTGAGGAAGACACATAAAATATCAGAATTGGTCTTACAAACAAAAAGAATATCGGGCTTGGTACATCCTAAACAAGAAGGGTACGGGGTGTGCAGTATGTACATGGATGGGAAACAAGCATAAGGAAAGCAAGAATACCGAAACAACCTGTGATTTTTGGCAGTGAGGAATTGTTGAAAACATAATGGCTGAGCAGGTGCTGAAGTTCATCTTTGTTTCGGAATACCTTCGTCATGAGTTTAAAATATCCAGTAGCTCGAATGAAGTCTTTCCAATCTTGACTTGTAAGACATTCGTAGTCGTTTCCATTGACCTTGGTAACAATGGCAGCCGTAATCCTCCGCCCATGCACTGTGTTGACATAGTATGCGAGGGTTTCTTTACCCTGTGCATCTTGGGTGCACTGAACCTCACAATTGCTTAACAAATCCATGAAACTAAGGCAAACAAGCGAATAAGGTCAAAAAAAATGAATGGGGGAAAAACGTATATTACCACACATGCAAACAAATAAGGTAGAAGCCATAAACTGATTCATCTGAAGTAAGTCGGAGCGGAACAAGAAACTAAACGACATGAGGGGAAAAGCATTGGGGGGAAAACGGGTAAATGGACGGCCGTTGCTGCATATTGCATGCCGGCCGATGTGACTGAGTAAACACACCTGTCACGCGTGAGGGACAAAACGAGCTGCGTCCAGTTGGTGTGGTTTGTGAGTAACGATGAGTTGCTCTGTGTTTATGGCGGAAGTCGGCTAATACAGAGGAGGGAACAAAAGGGTGGCTTGACAGTTGGTACGGGCAGAATAGTATTATTGTTAGTATAATATTGAACTAATAAAAATGATAACAGTTTCCTTAATAATTGTAATTATATTAGTGTTATTATATTGAAATAGTGTAACTGTTATTAATAGGTCATTTTGTATCATATTTTTATTAATATTAACAATAATAATTATAGGATAATAGTAATCTTAAAAGTAATAATAATAATAATAATGACACTTAAAATAATAATAAAAGTGATAAAGCGTGTTTGAATTTTTTCTATCTGATCTAATTTGAATGTTTCTGATCTGATTTAAGTGTTTCTGATCTGAGTTAATCTAATTTGAATTTTTCTGATTTGATCTAAATATTTGTGATCTGCTTTGATTTGATCTGAATCTTTGTTATCTGATCTTAGGTGAGTTTTTTTTTCCTGATCCGATTTGATCTGAATAAAATAAGAATAAGCAATAAGTAATAAGAACAAGACAAACAGAACAGCACGTTAGGCAAATTAGGTTAGCAAGCCATTTAGATATGCGGTGAGAAGTATGGCATCTGATACACATTTTCATCTAACTTTATGCTCAAATTTATCTTGTAAATAGTTAAATTGTCAAATTTATGTCCAACCATTTGGTTATCCATTTGGTAGTCTAAAATATGTTGATGTTTTAGTATTTCGTTGCAATTTTTCGCTTGCTAGAAGATGATTATGTAAGCACTTATTTGAGATTTCACTTGTTATAAAAAAGAGCAATAGTTTTATCTTAATAATTTCCCATAATAAAGCTACAAATTTCCAATAAATAAATATCTTGCTATTTAACATTGAAATTATATCTACCAATAGAGATTTGAGATGTTTGTACCCTGTCATCGTCTTTCTTAAAATGCAGTGATTTTTTCTTTTGTTTTGTTTTGGAATGAAAAATATTTATCAGAACAGGGAATGGCAACAAAATTTATAGTTAAATTTAAAAGTAAGGGTATGCGTGAAAGTGATTTGCATCTGAATCGTATATATTTATATTTATATTTGAAAACGATTGGTAATAAGTTGTTTCCAAATAGACTATTTTTCCCTCTGCAGAAGAGGTTCCAACAAGAGTTTTGAGAATGAAATTAGGCATGATTGGATCGGATTGTCTTACAGGATCAAAAGAATGTTCAAAATTATAGCGCGGCTTATTATTTTTGAGAAATTCTTTAAATAAGAAAGAACATATGGATAAATAAATAGGAGCGCATATATTGTCTATATTTACGAACACATATATGTAAATATATGCATACGCTAATTTATATTTAAAAAAAGTACGTAAAAAAATGTAACTTTACATGTAAATGCAATCATAATAAATTTATAAAGGATAAGTACAATTTGTATTTACTGTATCATGAGGGAAAAAAAGACGTCATGTGCAACGACAGTAAATTTAGTGGTTTGAAACAATTTGTATAATTATTGTTTCATGTATAAAATAAATTTAATTTATTAATTTAATCATGATAGCAAAACAGAGTTACATACATGCATGGTATGACAGGTACATAACTATAAGAGTTGTTTGGTATGTTATGACATTATTTGTATGATCGCGATATTAATTGATATAAAATCAATAGCATTGGTATGAGTTGAACATAGTTGGCGGTGGAAGCGTGAGAAGTGTTCATTTAAAAATAACGATTAAATTTGTTTATTGCAAACCTTGCGTTCCCGGGAGGGCGAATTTAGATTTTTGACGCATTAACGTAATTATTTAGCGAAACCTGTTTAGAGAACTCGGAGAGGTTGAGGTTAGGGGCAAGTTTTATTTTATTTAGGTGATTCTTGAATGATTTATTTTAAATATTTTGGTGAGGTGAAGGTCTATATAATGTTTTATTCTATGTAATCGATTTTTTAATTTTCAATAAATTGAAGCCCTTAGGTAAGTCGAGGGTAGGTACATGTTTAATTGATCTAAGGGATTTCGAATATTAAAAAAGAATTAGATCTGAAATCTGATTTTAAAGAAACAGGGTATAGATATCTTTATATGAGCTCAACATTGAGTTCAAATGTGATTACAGAGAAACAATTCATAGATTATCTCATATGAGTTTAATATTGAGTTGAAATTTGTTCTCAAAGAAGTACGGCAAAGATGACTTTATATGAGATAACATTGAGCGCAAATGTGAATGTAAAGAAAAAATTCGAAGTTCACCTTATATGAGCTTAATATTGAGGGTAAATCTGATCTTAAAGAAATAGATTATTGAGGCCCTCATATAAGCTTAATATTGAGGGCAAATCTGATCTGAAAGAAAGAGATTATAGATGATCTTATATAAGGTTAATATTGAGTTCAAATCTGACCTTAAAGAATCAGGTCATAGATTATGTTATATGAGGTTAATATTGAGGTAAAATATGATCTCAAAGAAGTAGGACATAGATGACCACATTGAAGTGAAATCTGAGAAACAGGTCATAGTTGAATTCATATGAGTTTAACATTCAACTTAAATATGACCTTAAAGAAACAGCTTGTAACTGTTTTCATATGAGTTTAACATTGAACTCAAATCTGACTTTAGAAAATGTGGGCATAGATGACTTTACGTGAGGTTAATATTTAGCTCAAATCTGATCTTAAAGAAACAGATTACAGATGATTTCATAGGAGTTTGACATTGAGATTAATTCTGACTTTAAATAAGCCGGTCATAAATAAAGTGAAGATTAACGTATGTTATAAAAGAACTTGCAGCATACATATTAAAAATTTGGTAAATCCAAAATCTGGAAAACAGTAGTTTTTCACAAAAACTCCCTTACCTTTATGGTCCTTAATAACATCTCCTGTAGAAGCTTGGGAATATCGGAAAAGGGTTTTGCATAAAATACGTACGCAGACATAGCGCGACCAAGTCAAAAGGAGTTTGATGTCATAAACATATAGATGTCGGGTTGGTAAGCTACAAGCGGATTCCTGGCCCAAAAAAAAAAACCAAAATATCATCAAAGCATGCAGATAGGGCAGGACAGTTTGGTTGATGTTACTGCAAAAGCGCAGGTGCAAAGTGGTTAGAGTCAAGCTAAGGAAGCTCAGCAAATTCAGTGTGGGCAGCGCTCCGTATTTCATACACATGTGGTTTGCTTGGCACTCTTTCCATCCCGCATGATGAAATTGTAAGTAGTAGCGCCTCACCCCTGTGATGCTTAACAAAAAAAAGAGTGGCGTTGTGTTTCAACTCAAAGGTTGTCTGAATTTGGCGTCGCAACGTTCGTTTGCCAACGACAAAGTAAGCATCATCATCGCCGTAGAAGATCCGCACGCGGTTCCTCATATCACTGCATGACCGAAGGAAGGCTTCACAGCAGACCTGTGTTGAGGTAGGAAAATAAAACAAGTGTGGCAGTTAAGATATGGTAGGATATTTCAGTGTATGTTTATATCTGTGTGCTTGTTCATTGTATGTGGTCGCAGATCTTTAGTGATTGTATATTTAGGATTTTTCTGTTGCATGTGTTTACGCATATTTGTACCCAAAAGCAGTTCCACTGGACAGTCAAGACCACCGACAAAAAATGTGAATCCTTTTTTTAATTTGGGATAAGAGCTTGGGAAAAAGAAGGAACTGGGAAAATATATACTGCATCAAAAATTGAATCCCATATACACCTACACAAGCCCAGCCGGGTCCTCAGGCATATTCATATATAAGTAATTCTTTAATTAATCTTGGGCATTTTTTATTTTGATTTTAGATTACATTTGTGGGTATTTTGCATGGGTTTCAGTGAAGGGTAAAAATATAGAAAACAAAAGTGAAATATGTAGGCTGTATGCAATGGTTATTTGAAGATAATATCAAAGGTATGTTTATATATATATCCTAATGGGTATTTCGCCTGTTGCAGGTTCCCATTAAGTAAATGAAGGGGTGCCTTTAACAACTGGGAAAAAGAAGTATACAGAAACAAATACTAAAGAGTAATAAATATAGTAAGGCATATACCTTACTCGTTTCGTTGGGCACAAAGAGAAAGGATGGGTGACAATACAGTTGGCTGTATGCATAATCTTTGAAAGAAGACTCCACATACACAAGGAAGTCATCTGGAATTAAGACAAGTGGATATTATGAAGTTGTGTAAGGAAGAATGAATAATATGATACAGTACATAAATTGCAGATAGGTATGGGCAGGTAGAAGAACAAGGTGGGGGTGAATTAGGTGTGTGTCATTAAAGCGGAAATTATATATGAAAGCACCTGGTGTATGCAAAGGATTTGAAACGCCAATGGGTTTGTCAGCCAAGTTAAGAGAAAATCCTAGTTTGTCAAACATGAATACTTCGAAAGTGAAGTTCCCCACATGCCTCAGGAGAGCATATGAGCCAAAGGCAATATCGTTTTCAATGAACAGGTCAGCAAAGACGTCACTTAAACCACAATCGTTGAACTGGACATTCCATGAGGTTGTCCCATAGACAAAGCGAGCATTGGGGCGTATATGCTCGAACAGATGCCTGTGCATGCATGAAGGGATTTTCTGGACAATAATAGGGGAGCCAAAAAAAAAATAGCAAGGTGAAAGTGAACAGTTATGGGGCAAAAACAAAAAATGCTTGGTAAATGTCAAGAAGCAAACATACAGCCAGGTCAATAGCAGGGATGGCAAGTTGAAACCAAACAATGTTGAATTGAAGAACGTCTGGAAAATGAATACTACCACTTTCTGGGCAGGCTGCTTGATTGAACAAAACAACGTAAAAGAACAGTCATTATAAAGATACACCATGAAGCCACGCCGGGGAAAAACAGGGAAGGGAACACGCCGATTATATTAACAACACCAACTTGTTAGGTGGGGGTAGAGGGCATGCAAAATACCTGCAATTGGAGGCATCAAGGAGCCTCTACGTACAAAATGGGCAAGCTTATGCTCAAGTTCATCCTTCCTTCTGAAGTATTTTGGTAGGAGCCTCCAGTAGCCAGAAATTTGCAAGAATTGTTTCCAATCGTTAGTGGCTTCACAGGTCTCCTCACCCGTATTTGTCTGTGTAACTACAGCAACCTTTAGCTTTCTCCCATGGACTGTCCTGACGAAGTATGTAAGAGTTTCAGATCGAGTGTGATGTCTTGCTCTTTCAACGACACAAGTGCTGAGCAGATCCATAGACCCTGAAAACAACAAACCAATTAGTAGCATACATCCATGCAAACGAAGTGGGAAAGTAAATTAAAAAACGTTGGGGCAGGGGGAAGGGCAGGGGGAAGGGCAGGCGAGGTTGTCGAGGCAGATGCAGCCATACACGCACGCACAGCAAAAAAAAGGGCGAAACGTTGGGGACGATCATACCTGGTTTGGTGACCTGCAGTTGGAAAAGTGATGAACTTCGTTGGGGAAGACACAGGCTGGCAAGGCAGCGCAAGTGAAGAGGTGAAGAGACGGGGAGGGGTGTTGGCGGTTCGAACGGTCGTATAAACTATAAAGGTTTGGGACTCGGGTAATACAAGGGGTTTTTGTATTGCCAAAAAAACAATCAATTCAAATAATTTATAATGTATCAAAATGTATATAAATACAGGGGGTTTTTAAAAAAAATTATCTACATAAAATGGTTGAGTTTATCCTAATTATTCTATTTCTAGTTTATTTGGATGGAATTTTAAAAAGATAATAATTGAAATTGATTGAGTCAAATGTAATAAGACATTCTCATATGTTTTTGTGAGTTTTGTTAAAATTTGTTGGTTGATTGTAATGGATGTTATGATTGAATTCATTAAATGTAAGGATTGCTTAAAAAGACACAATTCAAATAGGCTATTATTGTACTCTTCAATCTTTATCGCAGTTAACAATCTACCTGCCAAAGAAGAATGGGATAAAGTTAAAATTGGACATTGTAGTTTCATTAGAATCTCATATTGGACACTAAGGTTTCAAATGGATCAAACTAGACACTATGGTTTCATATGTATCTCATATTGGACAATAAAGTTTCAAAATTTAATATAAGTGAGTGTCCAATTTGATTTGTATCCAACATAAATGAGTGTTCAAAAAGTATGAATTATGAAACTTAATGTTTAATATGAGATACATATGAAACCAGAGTGTTTAATTTGATCCATTTCAAACCTTAGTGTCCAATATGAGATTCTGATAAATCCATAATGTCCAATTTGAGCCTTATCCCAAGAGGCAGTAAAATACATGGGCAATGAATTATAATAATAATAGATAAATTTACACTGAGTTTCAACATTTACCTTTAAATGTAGTTTGGTTTTATGGATTATAGTTAATCCATTTTTGGATGAATGCCAAATAGACTGTTAAATACACAAAGTATAGTGTTATCACAAAGCTCGGGCTAATTTTATGGAATTATAAACATGAATGCACCCATATGTGAATGGTTTGAGTCCCTCCGAGGCACTTTCGAGGATAAGAGTCGTGTTTTTTTGCTCTTATGTAGTGTTCTGGTGTCTTATACGTATGGAAAATAATGTAGTGTACCATTTTTTGGGGTGATTTAATTTAAAACAACGAATGAGAGTACAGAATGATAAATAAAAAAAAATATAAAATAACTCAACAGTGTTAATGGAAATAATAATACAAATAATAATACTGATCACAATTATAATGGCGTAGTTATATAAATATGATTATTATCTCTTTATGCAAGTAATGATCTGGTTACGTATGTATCAGGCGAATGGGCACGATGTTTACTCAACATCGCTTTTTTGTTGAATTTCTTTTGGACAATGCTACAATTTATTTGAATGATTGCCTTGTCGCTTACAGTATGTTTTCAAATGTTGTTAACTATTTCGGTGCCCAGTGGTCGGGAACAAGGCGGAAATTGGGTAAAATATGTTAAAACAGAATGATGATTTAACTATGTAACAATTAGAAATCTAAAATGAGTACTACTAATTTAGAGTACAAGAGCAAACAGGAATTTAAGCATAGAATGTCCATGTCTTTGCTTAATAGAAAGGGGAAACAAATACGTATGTTTATAGTAATTGGAGCGATAGTGTCAGGAAAAGTAAAAAATGCAAAAGTAATAATCAAGACATAGCAAAAGTGGGGCAAAATATTAAGAAGGCAAGGTTGGGTACGAGAGCGGGCACGTGATGCTATTGCTATCTCGTATGAGTAACACTTCATTGGGGGGAACCTCTAAATCACAATGTGCCATAGCAATCAGGCGCACCCTATCGTGGCTATGAATGAAGAACACCAAGGTTGTTCGTTTGTTGACTTGGAAAGGCATTTGGATTTGTTGCAGTATTGGCCCGTTCGTAGTGACCATATATGCGTAATCTCTTCCAAGGAAAGCTTGCAAGTGGCCCTTTGTGTCGCTGGAATAGTGGAGGAAAGCTTCACAGCTTTGCTACTGTTAGGAGAAAAGGGAAGGTTAGTTAAAAGACGTGTAACACAAATCAGATTGAAGAAGGTGGAATAATGAATGTAGGATAAAGGAATAGATTTGTAATTTGTTTAGTGATGTATAAGAACGACGCGAACTTGTACAGTTTCTTATGTGAGTGGTTTGGTATGCATGATTTGGCACGCAAAAAAAAAAAAGGATATGTAATGCAAAGAAAAAAAGGTTCACTTTGCAGGGATACAATGGGTAGGAACATAAGTAATACTCATAATTCATTATCATAACTAATTAATCGATGAGAAACATATCGGAGGGAATGTCGTCCAGGATACTACCTGACGGGGCCCCAGCTAAGTTCAAGGCAAAATCCCCTCCTAGTTAAGTAATATATGTTCTAAAGCAACCAGGGTGGATGCATGAGAATTATATGATATTTCTAATAACTCACAATCAGGGCAGTTGAAGGGGCGGACTCTTAATCATGATTGTAAACAGGTTGGCTAGTACAGAAGAAGCCATTCATAATCTACAAAGGGTAGATGTTTTTAGTTTTAAGATGTTTTTAAAGCCTTATTCCACTTGATGTGAGGGAAAACCCCAAAGGCATTGTGTATGTTAGTTATACAATCGTGTATAGTAGGATGGGTAAAAGTAGAAAATTGAAATATAATAATTTGAAAACAACAATGGAGGGCCAAAGGGTAGACAAGGAGTTGAAGGAAAACAGGGGAATACCGTATGTGCTTGTATGGGTAAGTTAGATTGCAGTAGTCATTGGATGATTGGTTTCCTGAACAGCTGAAGAATATACTGGATAGTTATTTGGTAACGCCTGCAAATACATGAAAATGACAAATATATGGCAACAAGAAAGGCATTTGGATTTGTCGCAGTATTGGCCCGTCCGTAGTGACCATATATGCGTAATCTCTTCCAAGGAAAGCTTGCAAGTGGCCCTTTGTGTCGCTGAAATAGTGGAGGAAAGCTTCACAGCTTTGCTACTGTTAGGACAAAAGGGAAGGTTAGTTAAAAGATGTGTAACACAAATCAGATTGAAGAAGGTGGAATAATGAATGTAGGATAAAGGAATAGATTTGTAATTTGTTTAGTGATGTATAAGAACGACGCGAACTTGTACAGTTTCTTATGTGAGTGGTTTGGTAAGCATGATTTGACACGTAAAAAAAAAAGGATATGTAATGCAAAGAAAAAGAGGTTCACTTTGCAGGGATACAATGGGTAGGAACATAAGTAATACCCATAATCCATTATCATAACTAATTAATCGATGAGAAACATATCGGGGGGAATGTCGTCCAGGATACTACCTGATGGGGCCCCAGCTAAGCTCAAGGCAAAATCCCCTCCCAGTTAAGTAATATGTGTTCTAAAGCAACCAGGGTGGATGCAGGAGAATTATATGATATTTCTAATAACTCACAATCAGGGCAGTTGAAGGGGCGGATTCTTAATCATGATTGTAAACAGGTTGGCTAGTACAGAAGAAGCCATTCATAATCTACAAAGGGTAGATGTTTTTAGTTTTAAGATGTTTTTAAATCCTTATTTCACTTGGTGTGAGGGAAAACCACAAAGGCATTGTGTATGTTAGTTATACAATGGTGTATAGTAGGATGGGTAAAAGTAGAAAATTGAAATATAAGAATTTGAAAACAACAATGGAGGGACAAAGTGTAGACAAGGAGTTGAAGGAAAACAGGGGAATACCGTATGTGCTTGTATGGGTAAATTAGATTGCAGAGGTGATTGGATGGTTGGTTTCCCGAACAGCTGAAGAATATACTGGATAGTTATTTGGTAATGCCTGCAAATACATGAAAATGACAAATATATGGCAACAAGAAAAAGACTTTACATAGCACTGTGGGGTTAGTTTGAAGAAAAACATGGTATACAAACTGAGCGGATTACATTATTTCTTTATGTGCAGCTAACATGATCAACGAAGGAGCGCAAAATTGTGATCACATGTGAGGGTTAATGAGGTAGACAGCAAGGCCTAATATTACATGGTACATCATCCACGCTATTAACTATGCATGGTAATGATGGTTGCATCGTAACCCCATGGCAGTTTAAAACAAACATAGTGTTTATATATACAACTCAGGTCGCAGGAACCAAGTACGCAGATCAGAGGGGGCAAAAAGGGGTAATGAGGTAGGTTAGGTCTTGCGCTTGCTGGAGCGCAAGTCATCAGAAGCATCTCCTTCTCCAGCCGCAACCAATGGAGATGGAATATTAGCAGACGTTTTGGTTGGGAATGCAAGTTTCCTCTTGGTTGGGGCAATATGAGCGTCATTAGAGCTTGTAGATGCAAGGCCAGCTGGAAGTGCAGTTGGTATTGGGGTTTTCTCTTGGGAAACACAAACAACACTAAAAGGGTTGCCACGCAGGCCTTCTTCATTAATTTTGGTGCGTTTTACGCCGGCAAGAATAGTCATATTTTGAAGTTGTGCATCAAGTGCGGTGAGGTCGCAGGTTTTTTCAGGGTCCATGCAAATGTATTCATAAAGTTTGAGCACGTCATTTGTGAAGAATGTCACTGGAATAGTAGTGGCACCATCAGTGAGTGTGGCATTGAGTATAAATCTGAATAAATGTGAACACATCAAGAGTTAGAGATAAAACAATAATAGTTTAGAGTATGGCATGAGGGATATACCGCTTTACTGTGCGGCCTTGCTTCTGGCCACAGAACATGCATTGGAACGTGCTACCTTCTGGAGCGTAAACGCGACGATTGCAATAGTCACAACCGATATAGTACGGCTCTGCAGAAGTGTCGCTTAGGTTGACCCTGCCACACACCCATACAACTGGGACCTGCATGTGCATAGGTAGTCAGTATAATACAGATGGCATAGATGTATATAGAAGATATTGACAGGATAGACCTTATTGAGGTTAGTTTCTAGCGAAGCAAGAAGTGTTTGGGGCTGTGACAGGGGGCAAGCTATATTTTCAAGAGCATGTTCATATTGTTTCTCAATCAATAACTGTTTGATTTTTGCATTGTTGTCTTTGGCCCTGGTAGCAGACAAAAGAAGTAATCCATGGAGGATTTAGCAAATACGAGAGATACAGGAGGTGTGAGTCGGAAAATGTAAACCCACAAAGTGGAAGAATAAAAAAAAGGCACCATTTTTTTAGCACCAGCGCGCGATCACCAACTGGGTTTAATTCCATGTGCGAATCATAGCGAGTTGACAATGATAGGCCTGCAAGAAAAAAAAAAATGGATTACGAAAATATAGTAAGTTTGTGGTTGCAATTAAAGTGGGAAATAAGAAGTACCTTGATAAATATTTGCAACAACTCTGGTGACAAAAAGAACTGGACAGTCACCAGATTGCAAAAAAGTATCAATGGCCGCACCATGTTGATTAACAAATTCTTCCCATATGGTCATAGGCACCAGTGTTAGTCTGAAATTAAGGAATGTTAGAAAAACCACATGTTAATTAGGACAAAAGATATTATAGAGGCAGCAAAGGTAATCTTACTCTTCATTAATCAGAACGACGTCCCATGCAACTTTGTGTACATCACCCGTCACTATGAAGGCCCGGGGTAGTTTCGCGACAATAACAGCCATTAAACCTACAAATAACAAGTGGATAAGACTGAATAAAAAAAACCAGGGGGGTCACAGTGGGAGGAGGGGAATGAGACGTACTTAGGCTTTCAGCAGCTAAGTAACAGTCAAAGATCCCTCGGAAAGGCTTGACAGTACTTTCAGCAATCTGGCGAAAGTCTACCCCTTCTTCAGGGGCGACATCCTGGATAAATGTGCGTCTGGTGAATGACCACACATATTGGTAGTTTTGGTCCACACAGAAACGCAGATCAGTCAAGGGTTTCACATATGCGCCAGAAATGAGGTAGGTCGAGTACAGCTGCAGACGTGCATCAATTCCAGAGATGTCGCCTGCAAAAGCAGTTGCCTGGACTCTATTCCCCTATAAGATAGACGTAAAAAATAATGAACAAATATATAGGGAATTGTTGTGATATCATAACAAACATAACCAATCTAGATTAAGCTCACAGCAGAATCAGCGAGAACGAGGGGAAGAAATTTCATGGGAGAAGTTTTTGCAGATCGTATGTTTTGTTTCTCTACTACAGTTAGGCGACATGTCCAGTTTTGTGTTTCTGGCTTGATGTCCACTATTAATAGTTCTGCTGCCATGTCTTCCCAGAATCTGCAATGTCAGAGGGAAAATAATTTAAAACAGGGAAAAATAAAATGAATCAAAAAATGGAAAGCAGGGTTATTTTAAATGGCGGGGGCAAACCTATAAGCATGAGGAATTAATTGATGAAAGGCAGTATCTCGTTGTAGACAATATTACAAGTAGTGTCAGAACGATTTGAGGCATGTTCGTCAGGGGAAATAAGTATCTTAATAGAATTTGCATTCTTGGCTCTTGACATTGCAACGTATAGTTGCCCATGAGAGAATACTGGTTCTTTCAAATAGATTCCAACAAAATCCAATGTTTGGCCTTGAGATTTATTTATCGTCATGGCGAAGCAAACTTTGATTGGAAATTGAGTACGTTTGAAGGGGAGGACAGAGTGGTCGTCATTGGAAACTTCCAGAGGTATTTTTGGGATAAATACATGCGTGCCCTTATGGTCCCCCGATGCAATGTGGCAACTCAATATGTGGTCCCCAAATGAATCACATATCAAGCGAGTGCCGTTACATAGACCTTCACAGGGGTTCAGATTGCGAATCAACATGACTGGGCAATTATGTTTGAGGATTAATTTATGGGGTGGCAAACCAGCCGGAGATAATGTGTGAAGATAATCCTCACAGTGTGCGTTCTTTGAATCTGTAGGAGCATCATAGCTTAGGTAGGTGTGAGTTTCCCCCGGGAATCTTTCTATCAAATGTAAGTTAATGAAGTCAACCATGACATTTGTGGGTGTCAATATGGAACGGGACATAACTGCAGATGGATCACTTTGAAACAAATTCATGTCCGGGTAAACAGAATGACAAAGTAGATCCAATGAGGTTGATTCATTCACCCAAGGAACCAGAAAATGGGAAGGTATTTTAATCCTTCCTGGGGATATTTGCGTTTCTGTTCCATTGCCAATACGCATCAAGTATTCACAGAATTGCGGGTCTTCATGTGCGCGCATATTTTGAGTCAGACGGAGACGATGGACATGTGGCCATATTGTTACTGAACGGACAAGACATGCGTTGATAAAGTCTGCACGTGTTCCGGAGCGAACAACAGGCAATGTTTGTCTGAAATCACCACCAAACACAACAACACTCCCCCCGAAGAGACTATCTACACCTAAAATGTCCTTCAACGTTGTGTCTAAACTTTCCACGATCATGCGGTTAGCCATGGAAGCCTCATCCCAAAGAATAAGTCTTGCTTCTCTAATAAGTCTAGCCTCTGCAGATTGTTTGCCAATGTTACAAGTGTATTTCGCTTCTCCATCTAATGGGAGCTTAAATCGGGAATGGGCAGTGCGTCCCCCAGGCAAAATGGATGCTGCAATTCCAGAGCTAGCTGTAGCAAGCGCAATCCATTTGTTTATTCTAGTTGCCGCTAGCAAACATCTGTACAGGAAAGTCTTTCCTGTCCCACCAGGGCCATCTACAAAGAAAACTGCCCCTTCAGATGAACGCACAGCTGCCATAATGGTTTCAAATGCCAACCGCTGTTCGTTATTCAATAAGGAGATGCCAGCAAGATCCGCTTCACTAATCAATATACTGTGTTCGGCCAATACTTCACGAGGAGTTGCAGTACACAAGGGAATTTCCACATTTTCATCAAGAATGCCAAAAGAATTGATATCCCGACCCATTTCATTTATTAGCTCCCCTAGCAAAACCAAAACTGCCCTTTCTGCATCCATACATGGCTGAATTCTGAGAAGATCCTCACATAGGTGTACTTTGTAATCAATCCAAAGTGTTCGTGGATCTGGAACGGCAGAGTAGCAAATATGTGTCGCGAAGAGCCTCCGCAAACTGGAAGGTAGCTGGAATATTACAGCTTCATCAAGAGAAGCACGTACTATGAAATCTCCAGACAGTAAACCCAAGTGTTCTGCAGCAAATCGAAATGTGGAAACTGATGCACCATTAATGCATTTGAGTTCAGAAAAAGATTTTGGCGCGCGAACGTTAGCAAGTAACAAACGTAGATAATATCGCTCTCCTTCAGTGGGATTTACAGAAACAAGCCTACCAAGAACCTCCTGTCTTTTTCGCTGAGTCCATTCTTTTTTGTGGGCAGTCCAAACGAAGTAGTGGGGAAATTCTAGATACAGGAGGTTCAAGTTGATCGCAACTTGGTTTGTTGCATTCATCCAGAAAAACTGAGTAAGCATAGTTTTCATTGAATCAGGTGCCTGTGTTATGTAGGTTATACGTTGATCTCCATAAAATGAAAGGTATTGAGCGTTCTCTAAATGAACCTGTAATGGTAAAACAGCAGGTTTCATTTCAGCTATTGGAAAGCCAAAGATGCGCCAGGCGGCCTCGGGAGGAGAAACCCAGCGTGCTCTTTGAAAGTTTGTGATTTCATCAATAACCTCGGCATTGTTTGTTTGTGATAAAGACATGCTGATCCTGTCATGACCTTTATATACATATTTGTATATGTATTTAACAGATTTGACACTTGCACAACATTCTACATTGATATGGCAATCATATTTCTTCAATAGGTGGGTGTTGTAAGGGACAATCCACATGTTGTTAAGCGCATGTTTTCTCACTGTCACAGTTAACCCAGAGTCCCGCCTCCTATAGGTAGGGAAGCAATTTGCATCAAATGTCGTTGTAGGAACAAAGGCGCGTGGATATTTACTTCTGCATTCTGCTGAGTTTGACTCATATGAAGCAACCATGCACGGACATTCAGGATTCATTATCCCGCAAGGTCCATGTATCATGTGTTTTTTGACAAGGCCGAACGCAAGCGGGTCTGCAATTGGATCAGGTAGTTCGGCAATAATGACGCGATCACATTGGGCAGGAGTTGTGATTTTGTAGGGAGTGTCTAAGATGATCAAAAAATGAGCATGGGGAAGGCCTCGTTTTTGAAATTCAATCACATATGTGTAGGCAACGACTTTGCCAAGCAAAGCCTTCGTTATTATATCCTTTTTGAAAGCTTCCAAACGGGCACGAAACACGCGAGCCACAAGGTCTGGTCTATTCTGAGCCTCATCAACAAACAACAGGTGGCTCTTAATCTCAGGCCAATTAGGGTTACAAGTGATGGTTATGAATAAGTCTGGTTTACCATACTTTTGTACAAGTGTCATTGCATCCATGTATCGGCCGCGCATATCACGTGGGCCACCTATGAAAGAACTGGGCAAGATGACACGTCTGCCAACATCGCTTGTGTTGTGTAAACCCGATTCAACACTGTCCACTAAGCCCTGATATGTTTCTGAGCGACAATCGCGTTGTTTACTACGATAATAATCAAGTCGCTGAGTTTCTATTTTGATATATATATCAACGATATATTGCTGAAATAATCTGCCAGTATGTAATATAAATGACACATCTCTAGGGCGGAGTTGTAGCTTGTACGCATAATATTGGCGAACTGATACAGAGTGATTTTTCGATCCACTTGCAAGTACTGATTCTTCCTGGGCCAGCAGAGTTTCTGTAGAACTAAATTCATTGTAAGCGACAGACAATGAAGGTGGAGTACGTGAGATATTACGTGGTGAAGCAAAACCTGCCTTTGGAATACCCTCATGCCAGCCTAATTCTCCATGAGGAAAAAGTAAAGGGTATTGTAAGGGATCATAACACCCGTAGTAATAATTCACGTTTTGAGATTTCCCACTGCGTGCGTACACACGAATGTTCCTGGTTGAAGGAAGGCCTTCGTAACCATCCTCAACCCAGACAGCAGCGACCTGAGATGCAGTGGGCTTGTTGTACACACGCTGGTCCAGGCAGGGATTTGCGTTTACCACAATGGTGAATTCTTCACTGTGATCCACATCACCAAGTGTTTTGAAAAATTGAGCGTATGGGTTGGCAGATAATACATCCATCAAGATGGTGACAACATCTTTGTCCAATCGGGACGTAGACTCTAATCTCTCATCAACAGCATAATCGGTGTCGTAGAAGTAAAGCTGTAAATTCCGAGGCGGGCACCCATCAGGGAGCAGATCATTGATGAAATGGTAAATTTGTCCTTGAACTCTGAAAGTGTATATCCCCTGATTACGACGACACAACTGCTTGTCATAATTGTAAATACCGATCGATGTGAACGCAAAGGTGTTGTTATATGTGCGCACACACGAACGGAAGTGCTTCGATAAAGGGTCATGTGCTGTGAATAATTTTTCCAGCTGCGTAGGCATGGCAGTTGATGCGAGAACAACCTGACCTCGACTGCAACACATTCCAGGTGGTTCATACTGGAGTCTTTCAGCACCACAAAGCGCACAAGCGGGGACATTATCAAGGATGTATGTCGCACAAACAACTGAAACAACAATGACGCAGGTAGCGAGCGGCCAGCACGCGTAAATATATGATCCACACGCATTTACATCAGGGGAATCGAAACATCACACAAGGGCCGACAGAGGTTTAAAAGGGGAACATCCAGTGAGATAACAGAGTAGGGAATGTTTTTTGAAGCAAAGGCATGGGATTATGTAAATGGAGTATGACAAAAAAATGAATTTACAATGGATACGTATATGGTGGATACATATGTGGCGGACAAACATAACACAGCAGATGTGACGGCGCGGTGAATGATTAAATACAAGGGAACAAATGCCAAACAAAGTAAAAAAAACAAAATTAGGAAAAAATATTCCACAAAACGATAAATCAAGAAAGCAGAACAACATGAGCACAAAAGTGCGCAGACCTTGAGGTTCTTCATGTATACGGACAGGATCTACGCGACGCCGTTTATTTCGGCGCTCGCGTTGTTCAACCAGAGGCACACGACTGCCCCGACCTCGCCGAGGAAGCATCTACAAGCGGACGACCCGAACAAAGGGCAACGCTAAAGAGTGTATTAAAATTTCAGAGCAAAACTTCAAAACCAGTAAAAAAAAAATCATACAAAAGGACCTGTATAACCTCTAAACAAAACAACGCAACCTAAGCGGATTAAAAATCTGAAATGTTGTCTTCATTTGAAGTGCAAAAAAAAAAAACAATACACATCGGCAAATAATAAACACCCAAAACAAACATAACGCACCATAATCAAATAAAACATAGGAAAATGACTTAATGTGATACTAAAACTGTCAAACCAAAAGGGCAGCACACTTACATGACGTCCAAAGGGACACACTGCAACTCTAATAAGCACTCGTGGAGGACCTAAATAGGGGAAAAAACGCCAATGCCATTGTCAAAACACTAAGGAATGGTAAACAATTCAAACGGCCTAAGATATAGATATGAAATCAAATAATACTCCCCCAATCACACATGAACAACATCCCAGTTTACATGCACACTCAAAGAAAATAATTGTGAATCACACTCCATTGGAAGCACAATTGTTGTTATTCACCACACATAAGTGTATTCAGAGAATATATTAAAGCACAAAACCCTTGAAAAACATAACACACACAACAAATGCGAATTTACGGAAATAAACGGAAATTCAATTTACATGTACCAGTTTACAAGTACTAAAAACCCAAACAACTGAAAATCAAAACAACAGAATCATCAACAACCAACAGAATAAAGCACATCAGTGGAAAATCAATTCACAAGTACCAAAACCCCAAAAAACTAAAAACCAATACCACAGAATCATCAGCAAGTACACCCAAAAGATGCAAAAACTATGAAACACGCCCCCCAACTGAGAATCATGAATTGCATAAAAGAAACGACAGAGAAGAAGAGAACCAGGGAAATGTGAAGACCTACGCAGGAAGTGATGCAAGGGGGAAAAACGGCGCAAGTGAGTTCGGAAAACCTACGCAGGAAGGATAAGATATTTCGGTACTTATACCTGCATAGTATGAGCTGTCACCGCCTAAGACAGCACCTGCGGAGCTGCTGCGCGGATGACTATTCAATCCAAGGCGAGGTAAAACAAACGATAAGAAATGGAGGAATATGTTAGTTCGGATGGCGGCGGATACGGAGACAAATAGGACGCCGTTATGACGGGAAAAAGACCATCTAACATTCTTAGACGCTTAAGTATTTTAGTAGATATATATAGACAAATCTTCATGTCAGGCCGGCCTGACGGGCTGCTCCGTCCGGCCGATCCCATTTGGGCACCTTCCCGGTATAATTTTTTGATGAAATTTTTTGAGCATGTTCCCCATCAAGTCTAGTTTGTGCATACCAAATTTCAGCTCAAAATTCGATCGGGAAGGCATTCAAATCATTTTTTGAAATTGACTGCAGTTTTCTATGTATATTTTGACGCAGTCAACTTAAAAAAATGATTTGAATGCCTTCCCGATCGAATTTTGAGCTGAAATTTGGTATGGACAAACTAAACTTGATGAGGAACATGCTCAAAAAATTTCATCAAAAAATTCCACCGGGAAGGTGCCCAAAAGGGCTCGACCGGACGGGGCAGCCCGTCAGGCCGGCCTGACATGAAGAGCACTATATATATATATATATATATATATATATATATATATATATATATATATATAGGGGGGGGGGGAGATCCCATGCAAACCATGCTTCCCGTGCTAACCTACAAACCAACAACATCTCTTGGATTGAAACATAAGAACGGTTGATCATATGAGATGCATTATTTAATCGGTGCTCTGACACGCAGAGAATAGAAAAGGGAAACCACCGTCTTAGCGTCTCAGTCATTTATAAGGTTACTGTAGTCATTTAACAAAACATAGAGAAGCGGCAAAAACTAAAATTGGGAATAACTTTGGAAAACCCTGATTTTATGGTGAGTATCCACTAACTGCCCATGAATATCAAACATACAAAAAACAGAGTGATCAACGATTTCAAAGCCTGGAGCAAGGTTTTTTGGTTCCCTTTTTTAGCAAAGCAGAGCGCAGGGAAGGGGAGGGAAGGTGATCGATGATTGTAGGGGATAGCTTCGCCACAAATGGAAGATCTGTTGCATCAAATACAAAATGAGTTTGAAGAAGGTACTCGTTTTTAGACCTTGTTAACGCTGCATTATAGTAGTTCATATCTTGCATTTTATCATTATAACATGTGCATTTTAGAAGTTTATTTATTGCACTCTATTAGAAAGTTATGTGCACTTTAAAAGTTCATACTGCATCTTAACGCTATGGAATCTGCATTTTAGGAATTCATATGTTGAAATTTATTATCATTATGACTTGTGCATTTTAGAAGTAGTATATTGAATTTTGTCAGATGAGCTCCCATTTCACTTTAGAAGTTACTGCATCTTATCACTATGACATTTGCATTCTACAGTCAACTGACATGCATACTAAATTCATGATGTTACATAATGCATAATACATGATCAACATAAGAACATCATACCTATTACAGGCAGATTAAGCTAGTAGCACTTAAACATTTTTTATTTTGTATAAATATGAATTTGATGAATTTCATGAAGGTGAAAATCAAAACGTTAAAATATGATTAATCTCATAAAAAACAAAAAGCAAAGATTTTCTAAAGTGCAATATTTCATGGGGACGAAGGAGTAGGAGATGGAGATCAGATAAATTAAAAAATAAATTCACGAAACTAGGGTTTAATATCGGAATTCATGGTCTACCCTGTTAATGGTGGTGAAGAAATTACAGCGAAAGCAAATTTGTATGATGAAGAAGAAACAAAATTCTGAGATGAGAATGAACTAAAGCTTCATTGCCGAACAAAGAAGAAAAGAAAATACAGAGTAACAATGAAGAAGCAGTTATGGAAAGAGACGGCAGTTCTGGAAAGAAAACATGTTTATTTTCCAAAATTAAAACCAACTAAAAAGACTGAAGGACCCCTTAATTGATTAAGTTAAACAACCGCTCCATTGATTTTGAACGCACGTAAGATTCAATGAGATGGATGGCATGGATTAGGTTTGTAGGTTAGCATGTTAAGATGGGTTTGCACTTGATCTCTAATATATATATATATATATATATATATTAGAGATCAAGTGCAAACCCATCTTAACATGCTAACCTACTAACTTAATCTCAGCCCTCTATTATAGATTGATCGTCCGTGTCTTCCATTTCAATTAGAATGGGCAATTGAGGGCTTATTAGTCTTTTAGGTATTATTTTATATTTGGTAATACAACTACAGTTCCTCACATACATACCTAATCTCATCCGATTATTTTCTTCCCTGAACGTTCGATTAGGCTTCTCTCTAGGATTTCATCGAAGCTTGATTTCATAGCCATTTTCATCAAAGCTTGATTTCATGGCGATGCCGGAATCCATGTCTCTGTCTCCATCTCCGATTGCGTCTCACTGCTTCTTTCCCAACCGTAAGTTTATAATCAACTCAATTCTCAGCTATGTCCATCTTAAAATTTCACTTCATCTCCATCTCTATCGCAAGCCATTATTTCTATTTTTCAACCTAATACAATTCAATTGCAATAGATCTATTGTTAATTGAAGACTGTGGATTCAGGTATGATATTATAGGCGTTTTCATAATCTGTTCATTGTATTAAGCTTTCTGTGTTCATTTTTAATTTTGATAACACAAAGTAATTTTTTGTATTCATCATTGTGTGTTAAGTATTATCCATCTCTCCAAAATTCATTCTAAAAATTTGTAGTTTTTTTACTCTTCGAATGTTGTTTTTAATTTATTATATAGATTTATTGAAAAATTTGAAAGAAAACAGTGTATTACTGAATTTGTTGTTAACTAGGTTATTTTTGGGTTATATGAAACATGATTGTATTTGTGATATAATATGCATCATTGATAGGTGTACTATGCATTCATTCAGTAATAGTTAATTAGATACAGAGTATATATGTCTTTTGTGTTGTTAGTTAACTTGTTTCACTTCCAACCGGTTATTACTTGAGTAAAAAATCATCACTAATATAGGTCTGCTATTAATTAAGCTTGTGTGTCATCTTTCATGTACTCATTCGGTCTAGAATATATCATTTTTTTTTAATTTGATTCAAATAGGTTTGTTTCAATCATCTACTTTGAGATGATTATCTGCTTCTTCTTTGATTTTTAAGCTTGACATTTACCTGCATCTTACACCAGTATGTTTAATTTGAATGTTTGAACTGAATTGTATGCACTTGTCTGCTTAGTTGATGCATAACTTGTCGTCCTTTCAATATTCGCAGGCACAATATATGGTTTTGTACTTTTCACAAGATAAAAGCAAATGCTCTCTTAGAAGAATCAAGTCTTGAGATGTTGTGGCTGTTGAAGAATTAAAATGTCCCAAGAGCCTCTATAGATTGTGCAATGAGTTGTGTTTGGTCACGATAGCTTCATTAGCTTGAATTGTCCCTTGAACAAATAGAAATTCTTAATGCACTTGTTTTTTTGCTGCATTTTAATTTCCTATGTAACGATATGTACATTGTAAACATGATGATGTAATCAATCTATCTTTACGTCTATTCATTGTATGGGATGTGTGTGTATTATATGTGCTTATAAAATTTTCTATTTATTTGAGTATAGTATGCACTTCTCATCCAACTTAACTTCATTATTATACATTTATATGCATAATTCATTCCCCTTGTTGAAAAAATTAAATGTTGACTAAATGATAAGTTGTTTTATACAATTTTTTTTGATAACCAATTTACATTATAATGTGCACTCATCTTTACACTTAAATGCATCATTAAATTCATTGATATGCATAATATGTTTCTGTGCTCGTGAAATACATCTTGAAATCGTGTACACGTCAGATGGTTTTTCAATTTTTATTTTCGTTTTCATTTTCTTATCAATTGAACAATTTGTAACTCTTTTGATTTTGTAATAATAAATCTAGTATGCGTACAATATGCACCTTATATATCACAATGGTGCATCGTCATATACTATGTAATGCATAGTTCACTATCTCTTCCCAAAGTGTTAACGTTGTTGGATTAACTTATTCATTCAAACTCATATAACACTTAATTGCATCCAAAACTTAGATGTTCATACACCACTTCATTAATAATAAACTGACACTGAGAAATGCTTTCAAACTTCATTGTCATCCAAAACTCATGTATATATGCATACTATTGTTCATTGCAGTGCATCATACAAGTTGTTATGATGCAAGTAAACTCATACTAAAATTCCTTCAACCAAAATAAGTGTTTGTGTTGCACATTTACGAAACAGTCAACATAATACGATATGTCATGAACGATGTTTCATTACTAACGTCATGTAAAAAACCTTCCATAGGTTTCCACCCACACAATAACACACGCCATAATCTTTTTTCCAAGTAAAATGTAAACAAAAACACATGTTGTTTGAATCAACTCCCGTTATGGTTCATTCAATCAACCTCTCAAATTTATTTCTCTTTGAAAATTCTTCCATTTGTCCTTCTCTTCATGCTGAGTGCTAGTTTCCATTCTCTTTTGTACTTATCTCAACACCTGCATAGTTACAACAACATCATTACATCCATAAATGATTAATGCACTATAAACTTGTAATGATGCATTGTGATTATATTAGACTTGCATCTTACATCCACACGCATGTCCTGCATCTTATATCTTTAACTACTGCATCTTACATCCACATGTCCTGCATCTTACATCCATTTGAATATTCAATTTCTATTAACAAAACCTTTGCATCTTATATCTAAAACTACTGCAGCTTTACTTCTGTTCCAAAGTCCAAATCCAAGTACCAAAACCTCTGCATCTTACATCTAAAAGTACTGCATTTTACTTCTAAAAGTACTGCATCTTACATTAATTGAAAAAAAAACAATAAAAGATGATTAACCCTATATCCGAATATACATAGGAATCCCAACTTGTAATCCGATATTATTCATCATAAATTTGTCAATAATATGCAGTTCAGTACTCAAATCAAACATGCATCCATATTAATGTTTTTGCATCTATATTCGAATAACAAGGTCTAAAAACGAGTACCTTCATCAAACTCATTTTGTATTTGATGCAACAGATCTTCCATTTGTGGCGAAGCTATCCCCTACAATCATCGATCACCTTCCCTCCCCTTCCCTGCGCTCTGCTTTGCTAAAAAAAGGAACCAAAAAACCTTGCTCCAGGCTTTGAA